GTCCGGTATTCATATAATGAATCGTTTTTCACTTGTTGAAAAGCTCATTATCTGTTTCGTTAACAATTTTATAATAATAAGCCCTATCGGAATCTCCACTGATGTTCATATCTAAGGTTGTGAAAAACCGCTGACACCTAGTACGGATCTCATCTCAATATTACGAACTTATATTAATAGAAATTATTATATGTTTTCAAACTAACTTAGTAGTGTTCAAAACATGCAGATACCACAATCTTTACCTCTTTGGCTCATTTTACTGGAGGCTTACGATTACGAAGTCGCAGTTGCAGAACCTTTATCTCCTGATAACCAATGATCTTAACTTTCCGATATAGTTTGATCAGTGACAAAAATGAAAGCATTAAAATCAACAACCGATGCTACTCGTATGTCAAAAGATAACCATATTTCGATGTCAATTCCATGAATTTGACGCTTAGCAATGCTAGCATAGTCCACTCTACTCCAGCATTTAACCGACACCTAGTTTTCCCTTCGCAGCCATCATTCCTAAGCAAGCTCGGCGTCACTCCTATTTTAGATTTTAAACAGTATCAACATGTGTTTCGAAATCTTTGCTAGCCATATATATTTTTGTAAGCCTTTTATGGGTCGAATTTGATATTATTACCATCAACATTTTGTTATTTATTAGTTTAATAGGAACGCTTAAATCAATACAACTTTCCTAAATTCATCATTCACACAGTCAGTTTCTATTTTATTGTTATTTATTTTATTTATATGTAACTACATCATCTTAACAATCTATAAAGTAACCCGCAGAAAATATAATGTTAGTGTGTTGAGTGAAATTTATATTATAAAAATTTCGTTAGTAAGGAAAATCAAGATTTTATAGCATGTTAATATAGACAAAAAAAACAACAAACTTTTTGAAATAGATTTATTTAACACTGTAAAACTCTAATGAAACATTAGGTTTTAAAAGTGACATGCAAATTTACAAAAATTTGATTAATTAAGAAAATTGGATGATATTAATTCAGTATCGCAAACGCGGGAATTTACATAATCTTTCCACAGATTATAAACGACAAATTATCGCATGTGTGCCGTATAAAACGTTAAAAGACGTCTACGGCGTTGGCGTATTAAAAATAGAGTACGTACCTATAGATTATAGACGGTGGAGCGAGGCAGCGGTGAGGCCCGCGTTTTCTGTCTGCAGACTCAAGGCCCGCGAGTCATTGGCACGCCCGTGGCTCAAGGCAACTCGGCAACCGCCCGCAAACCGCCAAATGTACCACCGCCATACTTGTCCATATAAATTCGATGAAAAATCACCTCTCACCGCACCTAATGAAAGGACTTCTGTCTACAATCATGCGGAAACTAAAACTCTACAACAAGGGCAAACAAGACTTTTGACGTCGTCAAAAAATTCTTTGTCAAATCGGACAGTTTTTTATTGCACTGCCCAATTTAACAAGGCGAATTAGACAAGGCATTTAATAGGCTGTTACATAACTTCCGTACACACGCTAACAAAATGTATAACACAATATAATGTTTCCGGATGTAACAGTAATTACGATGCAAATAATTTCGGTGGAACGTTTGCTTTCTACCTAAAATAAGTAGCTTTAAATATTTATACGGACGTCGGTAAGTACGACGAGGTAGGTCACATGCCACATTACGGGGGTACTGCAGGGTGTATGCCTCGCTCTGCGCTGTACACGTAGGTCGTAGCAAGAAACGCTAAGGCCCGATAAGGACGCGGCGGGTGTTCTCGAAATAGAGGCCATTCGACGAACCGATTCGAACTGGTTTTATTAGTATTTGGGCGGTTAGGGGCGCCTGGACCGCGGTGAGGCGATAACGTCTATTCGGGATTACGTTAAACGCCTCCAAGGCGGTTCTCTCGGTTTCGTAATAACGAATAAATTATGTTTAGCATTTAGAAAACAAAAAATTTCGATTTTCGCTTTGTTTTTTCGTTGATCTAAAAATAACGAAGAAAAGCTCACTGACTAACTCTTCAAAGCACATGGCGGTGTTCCAGTTGTATTTATTGCGTCAATACCCAATACATTGTAACGTGATGCTTTTAAAACTTTCAGACCTATTCGATAAATTTAAGTGAGCACTGCCCTATTTATTGGTCAAGAAATTACACGTTCGTAAAGACCTGCACGCGCCGCCGCATACCTCCAGTTTTTTACTTCTTTTTTACATTGCGTTTATCAGTCGCCTTTTTAGCGAGCATCTGCCGAAATAGTGGGCCCCGCTGATAAACAGATAAACGTGATCCTACGGGTTCAGGGCCGACCGCTGGGGGCAAGTTGGCTTTAAAACCATCATCCTAACAATAACGTGCTCCGTTAGCAACATATGAGCTGAATAGGTTCTCAAAAACGATATTTATTATCTATGAGCACGTTGAAATTTTAACTATATCATATGGCGTACAATCGGACATCTGCCCGCTAATTAACAAGTCATCGACACTTAGAGCATGGAAGTTTTTTTTTCTAAAACCTTTAACGAATAGAACGTGGTTTAAGTATAAATATTTGTATTGACAAGAAGTACAATTTACTTTAATTGAGTACCAGCTTACATACCTAGATAGAGAGAGGGAAATTTCTTTTTTCCAGTTCTCAAACAAGTTCAAACTAAGACAGAAGTTTTTGTATATTTTAGATATATCATTTAACAGCCTCGATCTGGTTTCTAAAGTTTCTAGCTGCTAAGAGTGACCTTAACTTCTTCACTTTATACATATATTCATATAGGTACTACTATTAAAACACGATATTACAGATAGATAGAACTATTATATTAAATACAATCAAAACTGTACTATTGATTCCTTCATTATAAAATAGAATGCAAGATAGATATTAGTATATGTTCAAAATAGGTCACCTCATTTCATGTAATATTCATAGTTGGGGTATTATCAAGGTTATACAATTTTATGGGCATATGATAACAATCACACAAAAAAGTACACGTTTCGTCCTTGTGTCGTCTAAAATTTTAGTAATAATTGTAGAATTAATTACTGTTACAAATGTGCGAAAAGCAGGTGAAAACAGTAATTATTGACCACCTGCTTATGAGCTACTTTTATTATTATATTAAAGTATAAAATTGAGGTAGATCGCTTAAAACTTCTATCAATGGCATCAACAAAAGTGCAATAATAATGTAATCGTTAATAATTTTAAATGCGTTATGAAAAATTATGTCACTAACTGAAGCAAAATGAATTATTGTCTATTGAAACTTTTTTACTGATTTCAAATTACAAAGTTCCAGACGTTTTGTAAACAATACAGAATCCATAACCACAGAACATACGAAAGCCTCTGACTTTTAACAGACTCTTCAACTTAAGGAAAATTTCTAGCTAACAGGAAAACAGAACTCTCTGAAACATCTCAACACCATGTATCTGTGACAAGGAAAACCTAACAGCTAAGCAACAGTACAGTACATCAAACAAGGTACTGCTTGACGTTTCATGTACGCAAATTGGCAAAATGTACTGCAAAGTTTAGATTCCATTTGTAACTGATTAAAATAGATAATCATCATTTCCTATTTGTTTGACGGTCAGTAGAACATATGCAATTATTCTCCTGGTTAAAAATGTATTGTGAATCTTAATCGAAATTTACATATTTAAACCCCAGTGGCCAGTGCTTGAATACCATAATATCATATGACGGTAGGTACATATGTAGATGCCAACTTCTTGATTTCATTCGTGCAAAAATTTCCATCGTTCTTTTATTTTTTCTCAAGGTACAACATAGCTAGACTCTCTTCATTATATCTCGGGTTAGGTTTAATAAAGCTCGACAAAACATAGATACAATGATATATATTCATATCGAATAATAACAATACATTTATCAAATAACTCCTACGGATAGTTTTTCGAATAATTTTGATGGAAATAGTTCATTGTAGTTTTCTTGATGGAAATACCGCGAACGTAAGCAGTTTTTTAATAATGCGATATAATATTAATGAACTGCGACTCTGCATTCCATGTAAACGGCGTCTAAACGTGCAGTAATAAGACGCCGACGTATTTATTACGTTGATACGCTTATTGAATATTCTATGCGAAATACTCTATGATTTGATCATCGCTATAGACAAGGCCATCTCTGAGAAGTGAAGGTTATTAGGAATACGTGTTGACGCTTCCGGCCTCGTAAAACGAAGCGGAAAAATACAAGGAACCATGACAACGCACATGTCAGAATATTTTCAGAACTTTAGCTTCACCCGTTACTAACAGTTCTATTTGGATTTAATGAAATGTATCGGTTACGGTAACTCGAACGGCTAATGTCTGATACCTGATAGTTTATAGCGCGGTCTGCAAAATTTAATGACGCCTCGAAATCGCCTTTCATATATTGCGATTTATTTCTAACCGGTGTGACAAAAATGGCTCGACACCGTTCATATTTAATGAACATATTTAAACGAAGTTTTAGAAAGGAACATTAGGTATCAAGTACTTGAAATTTTTAAAAGTTTTACTTGCTATTAGTCTTGCAAAAAGTCGTCAGTCATAGTCTGTATCATAATCTGAATATTTTTCTACAATTCTCTTGCCAGGTATGCAAAATTTCTATAAGCATGGCATCAAAATCATTAGTGTTTTAGAAGTTATTTTGCCGCAGCGTACAGTTCCATATTAAACGTACGCACCGCCAATACATTAATTTTATAGATGTTTACGTGTTAAATAGATACTTGAAGTACACTTTCTCTTGCGAAAATATGGTGTCGTTGAAGTCGAAAATCATCATGAGACCCGAAACGTCAATACTGTACGGCGGCTAATGGGACAATAACGTAGACAACCGACAGTTCCCACGGGGCGGACGCCCGCGAACATTCCGGTTTCGCCAGCTCTAAATGTTTGTTGTCAAATTAATCCGAATCCGCCGCGCGTGAGACGAGACCAGTCGGGCGACTGTTCATTCATAGCGTCTGGAATGCTAGACCGCTCGTTGCTCGCCTCGACCGACCTTCGCAGCGGCGCGAAAAAACTCGAAGGCATCGTCATTCGCGAGTATGTGGAAGCTGCAGGATCCAGTGCTCGCTCCAAGGCGCAACAGCTCCCACAGGATGCGGGCAGCGTGCTAATAACCAACGCACTCGCATCCCGACGTCAACGGCACGCAGTTTTTCCCAACGAACTGGTATCTGTTACAATGAATTAGCGATGAGCGTTCAGTTTCAAACAGAAGGCGGCCCAACGTCCACCTGAGCACGCACCCAATCGTGATCCGAAATCGTTCTGAGAAAACAGAACGATAAAAACGGAGTCTACAGAATTAGACAAAAAGCTCAATTTCTTATATAGTACGACAATGACATCACGGAATTGACAAGTGGTGCCCGGTGTTTAGTATATAATGGGAAAATTCAACGCTTAACGCTTTTAGCTGACCGTTCCGTTATGAGAAACATAAGAAATCCACAAAAGTTATTATCACTCAATTATTCTATCTAAAACGTTATCGTTATTATACAATAAATGAAACTTTGACATAGAGTGAAATTATTTTTACAAGTACCCACGGTTATAACTAAAATTTATATTGTTACACGGGTTACAGTTCAGTTTAATTCACCACGGCTATCATTTAAGCAGTACAATTAATTGATTTATTACCTTAGATGGTTTTATCGCACAATTTCGTTGCGTCATTTGATTGTGTTTGCCTAAATTCCTGCGTTCTCATTGAGCGCCGGATGGTTGAGAGTCAACGACCTCATTATTGTATGCGGCGGGACAGAATTTTAATTATTTTTTGTATGTCTTTATGTATGACAAATTATGAAAATCTAATAATATCGCAACCAACACGAAGTAACGAAGCTTCCATAGATACAATCAACATGACTTACGATAAATTTACTCCGTGTATGTCAACTGGTTTTGGGTGGTTGATTTATGGTTCAAATGCCTTATTTTATCTCCATGTATTTTTATTTTATGTATAAACGCAATAGTACATGTATAATATAAATATTAAATAAAAATATGTTCTAAAGTAAATGTAAATAAGAAAACGCATCACAGAAGAATGTTTTAATATGCACTACGTGTTGTATATATTGCATCGCCTCCATTTATAGAAGAATATTATGAAATAATTACATTGAACAGTAATAGGGACTTGGTCTATGCTGAAACCCATCGGTACCTCAGCGGTGACGTCACTCCGGACGAAGTCCGCGGCTCGCAGCCCGCCGCTCAAGGACAGTAAACATTTACCAGGTCAACGAACGGCGTTGTCTATAGTCACTTTTTTAAGTTCGGCCCTGGCTGCCCTACGATCTCCCTCAACGCCCTGAAGGGGTCCACTAAATGATTGACTTCGAAACTGCTCAGTGATGCGATTTAAACGCAATTCTGTATTATTCAGAGATATTATTGTATTAAATTTTTACCTTAAAATATCGCCAACATTAATCAATCATGCGGTAGATTATTGCGTAACTTATATGAATCATAACGCACATGCTTTGTACGCATTTATTTTGTACGTTTTGAAGTAGTAAAGTGATACGTTATACGTTCAGATATTGATCTGAATCATAAAATGTGATGGCACGTACGATGTTCTCGTATAATATACCTTTGAATTTTAAAATACACCTGTATGCCAAACATAGCAATAAGTGAATAAGTATCCGACGAAAAACTGCTAACATATAGAGAAAAGAATAAAAACATTTTCAATTAGCTATAGCAAAAAATTTCCTATGTGATAAATATAGAAAATGCAATGTACTAACTCCAAATGTTAAAACTTTTAAAGTAATTTTAAAAGTAACAAAAAGTACCTTCCATTTAAATTGCGTTATTTATTTAAATAACGCATCGTAAATGAGAATCTTTTGACATTTTAAATTCGGTAAATTTAAATTGTTTGAGAAACAAATGAAAAACATGTATTATGTCGTTTCTTATTGTCTTACTTTATATTTGAATTTCAATTGCAACAGTAATTCTCCTTTGTACGCATCTCCTACGCTTGACCGTTGAACGGAACTAGTTTATAAATTCGGAATTCCGGTTCACTTGAACTCTTATCGCATTGTCACAAATCCGGTTGGTCAGAATGACGGAAAAAATGGCGCAGTCGATATGATGTTCACTGGAATAATATAGTAAAATTATTTAACGATGCTCATATTTAATATTGTGATTGGTTAATCTGATATTGGCGGTTATTCAAACCAACAGGAGCAGTGTGTGTGTCTTTTAATGTATAATTTGCGACGTATTAAACTTATATGATACAGTGCCCTAAACTTAGTAATAAGGAAAATTGGCATTTTCCTTTGGCGGGCGTGAAATCATTAGGAAGCAAGAATTTAAAGATCCTTAAAATTACTTTTTTTTTAAATGTTTGTTAAAGGCTAACACTGAATGAACTTTAACTAGGTAAATTGAAAACTTTTAAAAATACTGATGTTTTGGTTAATTTTCAATTGAAACAAAAGCATTTTTTTCAATGACAAATTAAAAAATACTGTTAATGTGCTGTTAATTAAATTCATGTATCTTTTATTTTACACTGATTATTTATCACTATCTTTAATTCTATCGACGAGATAAATACTGTTATGGTATAAAATAGAGTTACGATGAACCAATAGCATTTGTAGCTGTTCACAGCCAGGAAGGAATTATCACCTACATCTATGTACAAAGTTACCCTATGAATGTAGAGTATATCAAAGGTTCTGGCTAAAGTTCATACGTACATTTAGCCGAAGCCTCAAAGCGCTGATGCATAAATTTAGGACAAAGACACAGACAGACAAATGGCGATTGCTAACGCCATGCCCCAATAGAACAAAGCTCCATAGTTCACTTTCCGACCTAGTGCGAAGACTTTAGACAATGAGGACGTTAAAAATTAAGCCGCATAATGGAAATCCTCTTCTGTTGTAATGACCTCCGCCGCAGTCACTATTAGCTAACGGTTGCATCCCAGCAGTCCGTTATGTACTAACTGCGTTATGCACGACAATCGAGCCATCGCAGCGAGCTGTCTTTAAAAGAAATTCCATATAAATTAAGCATTCATTGCTTGTAATCATCATCATTAGGTACGTCTTCTCTTTGCTGTGGTTGGAAAGTAATTGGATGGTTTTATTGTATCGATTTTATATAACCGAAATCGATTTTGTTTAAACGATAATTGAAATGAATTGAATGGATTAAATACGTTAACAGCGAAACCACAGATTTAAAACATTAAACGATATAACTCTATTAAATAAAATATCCTTTTTTTGTTATGGGAGTAGACATAATGATGTTATCTGTCCTAAGATTACCCAATATTTATGAACCATAATGTTTGTTACAGTATAAATCGCTTTTACATACAGCTACCACCAAAGACGCTAACTGAAACGTAAAATCCTTGTTAATTAATTAATGGTCTTTTACTTTACCTCATATATGGCCCTTCTATTAACTAATACCTAATAACAATATATCTTCAATTATCATAAACTGATTATGTTGATCTCAAGCAATGCCCTTTCTAGCAACTTTGCTTTTGTCTTGCACTTTGGTTTAAGTTATTGAATTCTAAGACATTATCGACTACGAGAGGAACCCTAAGACATTCGACTATGCCAACAATAGAATTTGACTAAATAAACAACTTTTTTACACGGTAGGCTCTGGGTGTAAGTTACTATTTTTAGTTGAGATAGGCGATTGTTCGGACGGCAAACGGTGCCGGTTGCATTCCATTTTGCCGCGTACCATTACGCAGCCTTGTGATTCCGAGAAAAGAATGATGTCCCGCTCGCACTAAGTATTCCGCCTGCCTATGTTTTGGAATTCTGTTCATTGTTTATACTCTACTTCGTTTCAATATTAATACAAGCAACATTTGAACATGGCAACATCCGGCCAAAGGTCCTACAGTGGGTTTCTCACCTAACAACAGCCAACTGACGACCAAAGCGCTGCGATCGAATTAGAAAGTAATCTCACGGCTTGTGATAATCAAATTTTATAAATACAATATGGCGTCGTTAAAAAGCGCGTGTTTTTGTAGTAGTAGCAAATGAAATACGTTAAAGTGTCGCCCCGTGCTCAATGATTCGTTTGGTGGAGGAAATCAGCCAGCCGGTGATTAATGGTGGCCAGTTATAGCGAACTTCCTGTGCTGGGTTCCCGGCCCATGCGTTTGAATCGGAAAAAAAATACAACCCGATCGACACAAGAATTATATTGCCGTCGCCCCTCAACATTTCTGTGGTCATTGGTATTAAGCAGAACAATCACTGATCTAGATCTGATGACCGTATTGCGATCGACGCTTTTTTTTATGTGAGAAAATGGCAAACGAGCTGACGGTTCACCTGATGTTAAGTGATAACCGCAGCCCATGGACATTTGCAACACCCGTAAACACACCTTTAAATAAAGTGGGCCCCGGCTACCTCACTTACCAGACGAAACGCAGAAGTGAAACACTTCTACTTTACGCCGGTCTTCTGTGAGGTCGTGGTACTAACCCGGACGGACCTGCCCATTCTTGCAACAGTGTTTGGCCCTATCACCACTTCATGCTGATCTCCACAAGACAATTTTGCCTTTGCTAATTAGGCCTAAATAATTGTGTTCTCAAAAATTATATCGAAATACCATTCAAACGAATAAAATTATATCAACGTGGTGTTTTGCAAAGTCATCGTAGTTACGGTAAACATAAGCAGGTTAGATTACGGAAATATGTTTGTAATTTACTGAAGTGAATATTAAATTTAAAAATAACTGTCCGTATTCTAATTTCCTTCAGATTATTTTTAAAAGGAAACCATTTGAAGTCTATGATGGATGGACAAGACCGCATGCATTATTTGGATGTGACTCCGTGATTGTATCATCTATCAGAGCCGAATTCGTAACGGATGGCAGAATTCAAAAATGTCGTTACGAATCACCAATTCGAAGCACGTACGTTAAGCGTAGACTTCGGCAGCGTTTGATTTACGAACTGTACATGCGAAGAAAGTCCGCGAATTTTATGCTTCTCTTTATTTGTTTTCAGACAGGTCGGCGACCAACGGACTCTGACATGACAACAGAAAACTAAAAGTCCGTTATAAGCCGATGGATACGTCGACGATACGTGAATCTGTCATAATACAGCAATCCTTAAGTTTTGAGAACATGGTTATATAGTGGTACATAAATAATAAATAATCACTGTTACGCAATTAGAAAAACATGCAGATTGCTTATCCGTATTGTCATTTGTTCAGTATAAAAAAAAATTAAGTATTTCAACCTTCAACTATATTTTACAGGTATATTTATAACCATTATTTGATTCAAATTTTTTTAAAGTTTTTTATAGTGCTAATCTCTGCACTTAAGATTGAACGTAGAAGGAAGGCGTTGAGATTTTCGTCGCTGTGGCTATCAGCGGTTTAGCTCAGTGGCTAGAGCGTCAGGCCGTGAATACCGAAGACGTGGGTTCGATTCCCACAGCGGCGACAATCTTTTCGTACTTTTTCTACATGTTTTAATTATTTGATTTGTTTAATTCACGAAACTTTATTCATTTGTTTGGCGGCACCTTAACCGTGATACAAAAATAAAATAAACAAAATTAAGTCTTAAATGAAATAAGTAATTAAAACAATTACTAAATATTTGGTATTTGCTACATGAAAGGGACTTAACTGTAATGTGTCTTGTATGACAAATCATTAAAAAACCGGCCAAGTGCGAGTCGGACTCACGCACGAAGTGTTCCGTATCAATGTCTATAAAAACGGCAAAAATAATATCCTTTGAATACTTGTCGCATTTAAATATTTATTTATACGGTTAGTGTAAAAAAAGACATATACTAAAAAGACAAACTTATATGTATTAGTATTTGTTGTTATAGCGGCAACAGAAATACATCATCCGTGAAAATTCCAACTGTCTAACTATCGCGATTCATGAGATACTGCCTGGTGACAGACGGACAGACAGACAGATGGACAGACGGATAGACAGACAGACAGACAAACAGACAAACAGACAAACAGACAGACAGACAGACAGACAAAAAGACAGATAGATAGCGGGTTTTTAGTAATAGGCTCCCGTTTTACCCTTTGGGTACGGGCCTAATAAAAAGAAATACCAAAAAAACTCGAGGTTGAAAAACATTATGACATTTGTCTGAGTCTATGTTCTTTAGCTTTTGTGCCTTTAGACTATGTCCTCAATGAATTATCGCAGGCTCAATAAGATACGAAAAATAGACTCCATTTGCGTAATATCCTATGACTGACCATAGACTATATGCAAACCTTTACATTTTTACCTAAAATAATAGTTTCAAAGAAAAACTAAAGTGAATAAATTATTTTTTGCAAACAGGTAATGGTCCCACTAATTTAATGTTGTTTGTAAACTTCAATGTGGGAATTCTAGAAATATTCTCAGCGTTACGGTATCTTTTCTCCTGGCAATCTGCCTGTAGAATATCGTTCAAGACATAAAACCGTAATTCTGAAATTTTCTTTTAAAGTTTTTCAATATGAGTCTTTTTCTATTTTTCAATTTAACCGGAATTCGTTTAAGAAGATTTGTTGGTTTCGAAAAGTTGCAGCCACTTCTTAGAATCCCAAAAGATAACAGAAACCTTGAATCTTTTAAGTTTCTTTGATGGTTTTTGAAAGATAAATAAGGCATCTTTAAGATGATCATATTTCTGGTACATCGTTTGTGTTTTTATCATTAAATTTCAAATAGTTGATTGAGTTTTTCAAACGACATGTAGCATTAAGAGAAAAAGCTCCGGTTATGATAGAGAGTTTTTGATGCAATATCAAGATAAAATACTTTATGCATAGGTAATTAAAATTAAACATTTATATGAAATTGGCCTTAAAGTTTCTTAAATGTGCTCTTAAAGATGCAGTTATGTGATCAAACTCGCTGGATTAAATTGTACTAATGCAATTAATTGGATGCAATAGACAAAAACATACTTTTATAGTAATCAGAGGTAAAAAAGAATATAATTAAGAATTTTAAAATTTTGTCCATTGTAATTTTTTACATTGTTAAATTGTTGTTGTATATTCCTATGCAAACATTTGATTGTCCAAACCGTCTATCGAACGTCACTCAAACGATTACACTAAAATAAGCTTTTATGTTAGTTTTGTCACCGATTATTATTTCGTTAACGTTGGCCAATTGTTCGCTCGTTGATGGAGTAGTCGGCATTAATGCTTACGAATATGCATTCCGCAGCCGTTTACGGAGTTTCGTAATAATATGACCGCTCACTGCCTAATTATGATAGATAAGCGAAAAAGCATACCTCTTAAAGCCGTACATGCAGTTACGGACGTAAATTTACTTGTCTGTCCAATAGAATTGAAATAAAATTTAAGTTTAATTAAATTTTAAATAGAAGTCGAGACGCACAAAGAAACTTTCTGCGCACAAAATGACCGAGTAATGTATTATTAAAATTTCACGAAAATACATTTTCACGGTGGTAGGGCCACGCAGTAGCCTCGGTCGTTGCACGAATGGGCAGGCTCTCCCGGGTAAGGACAACATACAGTTGTCCATGGGCGGTGGTATTCACTTATCATCACCGTCTGTTCGCTTGGTAACTTTTCACATAAAAAAATATGAATTATATTATGTAATGTAGTATCGTCAATAATACAATATAATCATATAAAATTTTATAATTATTACTATAGGTACCCATTCAAAGAAATGTTTCCTTTCTTAACAATTGACATTAACAAAAAGATTTGAAGAATTATGTGAATTCAACACGAATCTTCATTATTAATTATTACACGGTAATAATGTTTATTATTATCAATTAACACCTATTAAGGGATCTATATTAAATTAAAGTAAAAATTCTTTTCGGAATTACGATTTGAAAATGCAACAATGACATTGATCCCATATTAACCACGCAATATTAGAACCATCATGTATGAAAGCTTGAACCCGGGACTTAGCAGCGACTGGCAAGCCCCCGAGCGGTGTCCAACGTTACTGTACATATTTGGCGATGCGCGCGACTACGATAATCAGCTGATGAAGATTACCGATTGCGTAGATAATTGATGCCGGGTGTCGACACTTAGCTCATAAGTCACAACTGATATACTTTTCCGATAACTGCCAACGGTACTACTACTAAGCGAACGAACAAGGTCTGTTCGTTACAATAAAACGTTCCATTTTAGTCAACAGATCGTTGGTTTTTTATTATCTGCTCAAAAGTAAATTTGAATAATAACAAAGGCATATCAATATCCTCGAGTTGTACGTAATCTGATGCGTGATTTGTATAATAATAATAATAGTTTAATTATTATCATACAGAATTCTATTTAGTTGAATGGAGCGTTCCATTTGAAACACGTTATTGTCAAGCGAGCATAGATATCCCAGACTTTTTTTAGCAATTAACAACGAGCCTTTCCATGTCGGTTGAATTTCACACACTCAGTGGGAAAATCAACCTGTTCGTAATTAACCGCTGTCAATGTACCGGCATATATACAAGCGGCTGAGTATTGTGGTCGTATGGTCACTTATAAAAATCAATCCTCGGAATTCATCTCATTTTGTAAATACTAGAATGAGAGGCGAGACTTAGGTCGGCGGACAGAGTGCGCGCGAGCGAGAGAACGTATTATGTATTATTATTCGAACGTCGAATCGGGAGAAACCTGCGTGCGGGCCTCACAGGCGGCAGCGCCCCGCCCGCGCCCCTCCGATCATATGTTCGGCGGCGAGGCGCTAACCGGCCGCTCACTGGCTCACTGCGAGTCGCGCACTCGCCGCCGTCGCAACGCACAGCACGCTCGCGCCCGATCAGCTGCACGCGCGACACAGAGCCGCTAGCGAGCCCGAATAAGCCGCAGTGCGGTGTGCAATGGACCTGCTCTGCGAGGAACGCGTCAGCCCCGGCAGCGACGGGGCGCCGCGGCCGGCCCCGGCGCCCCGGGCCGCCGCCTCCGACCCGGTGCTGCTGCGCCGCCGCGTGCTCGACAACCTGCTGCGCACCGAGGAGCGCTACGCGGTCACGGCCAACTACTTCGGCACGCTGCAGACAGAGATCACGCCGCACATGCGCCGCATCGTCGCCGAGTGGATGCTAGAGGTGAGCGCGCCCGGCCGCATGCGCATGCCGCACCCACGGCCGCGCCGGCGTTCGCCATTTTGTCGCCCGCCGCTGGCCGGCCACGTGTAGCCCCCGACTGCTGCCGCCGGCGGTGCCGTGGCCCCCGTATGCCCCCGCCACGGGCCGCCGGTGCCGGCCGCTTGCGCCACGCCGTGTCCCCAACTCCTCACCGGCCGTGCCCCGTCATGTATGTGAACCCGTTTGCATTTCAGATGGCTAGGAATGATCAGTATGATATATTATGCTCTATTGGGTAGGTATTAAAGTAACAGGTCGAACGCAGTGCCAATGTTTACACGATCAGCTGATTAGGTTTTTGTATCTTCCTATTAGAATCTTATTAGAATGTGATAAGCCCTGAACTTCACAACATATGAGTTGCTAATGCTTTAGTGGCAATTTGATTCTTACAACACTATAATACTCATTAGCTTTCCTGGAAACGTGGCAAATCGCACTGTTAAAGGAATCGGTTGTCAGTATGTATTGGCATAAGAAATATCGTATTAGACGTCAGAGCGATGGTGTTATGAAAAACGTGCTCGTTTTCGGGCAGCGCGACGAAGTATAGGTAGTATAATGGTCGCTCGGAATGTACTCGCTACGTACCGCTGGGTAGCGAGTGAGCGAGGGGCCCCCGGCCGGAACGCAGGCGGTCGCCGACCGATGCGGCTCGCTCGTTCTATTTGAATAATCAGCTGATTTTGACACGCACACAGCTGACGCCGGACGCGCACTTATCTTCGCTAGTAGGTATACGTGCAATCGCTGGCGCACTACAACTTTCGCGATTCGAATAATTGGCAACATTTATTTGTAAGATGACGACATTTTTTTTTTTGGAAAACATCGATAAAGTTGTTGTGTTGCTGTACACGTAATCTAGTTAAAATTTTCTGTATTAAATAAAATCGGGCTTGGACGACGGTGTAATGATGTAAAGTAGAACGTAGGGAACATGGAAAAGCAGTCAGCTGTGAAGAGCCCGGCCACGTGGGACGAGCGAGACGGCTCGCTGACGTCACTATTGGTGCGATGGCGGCGCATGCGTCGATTCTACTTGGCCGACACCTCGTGGTTTCGTTCCGTCTAAACCAGTCACATACCAAATTTCAGCACTGTACACCCAACCTGCGACTGTAAGGTCACTGACATTTCAATATACCTACCTGTCTTACATTAAATTAACTTGCACTTACGAAGTACGAGCCACATCGTTACGCGGGTGGCATGCTACGCGCAACGTTTGGGGTCATTGTCTCACGGTTTAATGGAAATAATAATTTTCCCCTTAAGGGAGTAAAGTAACGTCTGGAATCTGAAAAGTTTTATAATAAGTGGCTAGCGTTTGGAGGTTGCGTTCTATTTGATTTCGTTATTTTATTACGTTAAATAAACACATAAAGGTTAAGTAACATTGGAATATCTTGGAAACTTGTAAACTTTAGTATTTAAAAGTTATATTGCAAAAAGAGTAGACGTTACATCGTTTTCTCCTTAAGCATGTGGCTGACGTCGATGGGAACGGAACGAATTGACGCACCATAAATCTATGCCAGTTTCCCATACGGTGCAATATGATGGAAGCTCCAATTCTGAGAACAATGGGTACGTTAAGCTGAGACATAAGTTAATCAGCTGACAGCGGCATCACGAGCGTGGGACGAACAGATGAGTAGGTGTAGGTATAAATATTTTCGCCGTGCCACAATAGTTTCTGCATCCGCGCCGCATCGGGTTACCGTGCGAAACTATGTAGGGGGCAATACGAGTCTCTAGTGACGCTCTACGGGACCGGTGTAGTCTGCCGGCAATTTCCCAACTTTCCTCAGCCGCCCGCGATTAAATCCGACGAACCTAACCTCTCATTACCCGTAACCGAGTGGATTGAATCTGCAACAATAACCGACATCACGGATGTTTATAAAAGTCCCGTTACGCCCGCGCCGGCGACCAGTCCGCTCGCGAGCTCCAGTCCATTTCAAATCCTAACCGTCGTCGAAATTCGTTATTTTCGAAACCGTAGGTAAACGTGCGCATTCCGCAAATCGAGTTCAATTTATCATTTGACTCTGCACTCGAAATGAATAACGCTCAATAGCCATTGATACTGATAAGAAATTCAACGGTATGGAAGCGATGCGCCTTGTATTTATCGCAACATATATACATATGTGTATGTATACATGAAGTTTACATTTTTGTACTATAATTTATATATAGGTTATCAGGAATTCCGCATGATAAACTATACGTGGCCTGGGCGCGGCGTTGTTTCTCGGAAATGTACGAATTCGTTATGAGAGCTTTGTTTGTTTGCAGGTATGCGAGGATCAGAGCTGTCAGGAGGAGGTGTTCCCGTTGGCAATATCGTACTTGGACCGATTCCTGAGCATTTGCACTGTGGGAAAGAGCCAACTGCAACTGCTGGGCACGGCTTGTCTCCTGCTCGCCTCGAAGCTGAGGGAGCCCGGCTCCCGCGGCCTGCCAGCCGAGCTTTTGGTCTTCTACACAGCTAACAGCATCACACTCGCCGACCTCTGCGTGAGTTGCCATCCAACTTCAAGCCTACTTTCGAACGACACACGGCCTAGATTCAATTGACTTTCCCCGCGCTAGGAAACAGCTGATCACATTAATCATACAGTTTCATGCACTTTTTGCATTGTATTCCGCGCAAGCGCTCTCGTGTCGTTCACTCCGTCGATTTCTAGCGACGTCGGCCGCCGTCTGAGCATCCGCGAGATTGGAATTCTAGATTTGCGACGGTACATTAATTAATCGGTCGATATAACCTACAACTCCAGCACCTTGAGTGCGCACGCTCGGCCAGAACGCTCTAAACGCTATATCGCGAGGTGGGAGGCCAAAGCAGCTCTATAACGCGATGATTTCACGCCGTCCTTCACTCCTTTTTTTAAATCGTGCAAACTTTTGAATGTCAATGCACAAAACGATGGTCGGGCGATGTTATAAAAGCGTATTTCGTAGTCAATAAAAGCGATTTGTACGCAAAGTTTTCGCGCACTTCTAAAAATACACGTGTGTCATTCCTACTTATGTCCCGAGAGGTGACATAAATAAACTTCAAGTATTAATAACACACGCGTGAATCACTAATAGTTCTTGAAGCAAATGCATTTTTAGTATGTTACATTCGATTAAAAGTTGTGTCAAAGTGCGCATATACCCAAAACGCTAAAGCGCGGAATGCATTCGCATATTCATAGCCAAGGTGCACAACCGAAACAAGTTTACCTAATTCGCTCCGGCCGATATTCGAAAACGTTGAAAGACTTACGTATTCTTGGGTAACATTCGAACGCGTGGAATGATTCAACATGCGGTAATTAATGGGCCGCATTCACACGGGGAACATTGTCTAAGCCTAATAAAGGGCGTTAACACTGGTCGGCGTTCCGTGACGCCACGTGTCCACGAATAAATTGTATGCGAGCTTTGGGAGTGCGCTGCAGTGTCCGTCGCGGGCGGATCGCAGAGCGCGTTGCATCTCCACCCGACGGGGCCCCGTAGACGATAAGTGCACGGTTTTGCGCGTCATATGTTCCGCTGCGGGCCGTTTTTTCGCCTCGCGAGTGCACGCGGCGGCGCGCAACCTGCCTCGCGGGGCCCCCCGATGAAAGCGGCCGATACGCGGCGATCGCCCGGCGCACCAATTACGCCGCCCGGTCAAAAAAGCCGCGGGTATCTATACGAAATCGGCGTTGCGCCGCGGAATGCGGCAGGGCGCGGTCCGCGGATAGTGTCCCCTAACGAGCCGGAGAGCCTTCTCGGAACGGCCGAACGAGAGTCGCGTTTCAATAAGACCAATTACAGGCGAAGCGCGCCGTATATTTTTTCTCACGCCCGCCGCCGCCCGCGCGCCCGCCGCACCAGGCGCACTCACCGACACCAGCCCAAATGAGATTGCAAGTTCGATGTGACTATTTATAATTTTTCACGATTCGTTTTTTTCTTTTTTTTTATTCGGCGATCGTGAGTTATCGCGGCTCCGCTGCGTGCGCGCCACTCGACAAAGCGCTTTAACCGCTGAGTCACTTCGCTGCTCATCTTTTTAATTGACTACTTGTTAACCGTCTCTGTATATTGTATTCGGATATTTCGGTGCAATTAGTATTTCGAAGTAATTGCGTACAAGTACTCGTATGCTGGTGCTCGATTGTTGGTAAACTCAATGTTATTGGTTAACTTACATCGTTTAATAATAATAAAAAAAATGTTGGCTTTTAGTAACCGACTATACTTTATATTTTGCACGTGAAAAAGCAAATAATGAGTTAAAGATCATTACTTTTATACATTTATCACTTCTTACTCAGGCTTAACGGCTCCCGTAGCACTTCGTAGCACGTCTACGCAATCGCGTAGGCGACTTCATCTAACGCCGAGGGCGACTTAGAAATGTTACATATACAAGCCAAAACTATTCAGGGGCCTTGTAGGGATTTTGAAGTGTCCCTCGCATTCATTATCTAACCACAGTGTTCTAACGGTGTCGTCACACTGGTTGCATATAAATATTACTCCCTTCTCATAACGGATCGTCCGTGTGTAACGACTAGCGGAGGCCACACTATTGATAGACAAATATTCCATACGAACACCGCGTTCACGGCACTTTAAGTTCAGTTTCCCAATAGTTTCCTTCATTATTCATGGAGCGTTACCGTAACGTAACGTAGACTCGGGGGGAATGGAACTTACCGCTTGATTGGTCAGATCGAGCCGCAGACTGCGAGGCACAAAAAGAGAACTCTTTGGCATCCGAGACGGCTTTAATGCGGGGTTCCTGCAGTTCCCTCCCCTCCCGCCGCCCGATCATAAAACCTGCGCGGTCTCACATCTACACAACCACCGTAAACGTTTATTATAATTGAGCATAAGTTTACGACCCGCGGTTCCAGTGTAACGAAAGAGAAAATTCAATATTACGCCCACCGCACAAACTACGGCCTCTAATGGAAGGCTGTTCAATTACTGGTCAGAAATCGATTATACCCTTTATATTGTACAGTTAGACAACAAATATTCACTTGTATAAATCTCGAACAAGGAAACTAGGATGGCTTCATTCTTTGTATTTTAGATTCCATTTCATTATAAAGTTTATGAAACACGAACGCTTTTGAAAATCAATGCTTATTACTTTAATTAGAATGTGTTTTACTTAACTGTATTATAGTGAGATGAAATACAGTATCAATTAATAATCAAACTGGCTTACGGTAACTTTCTGACGGATTGAATTTTCCCAATCTCGTGAGTACCTTCTCGAGGTACAGGGCAAAAGGTTATAGTTATAAGTTAAAGAAACATATTAAGCTGTAGCACCGCCACCGATGGTGTTACCTCTTTATCTTTGTCGGTCAATAGCGATAGTAAAAGGAGGTTATGAGACCCTATAACTGCGACGAGTTACGTTTGCTTATTGATTGAGTGGATTGGTTCCGGTCTCACGATTTCAAATGAAAAACACTCGAACCGTTTCAACGTGCTTGCGATGCATTTGAATAAAAGTCGTGGAGAGTATAAAAAGATTTGGTACAATGAGTACACGGTGGTCTTCGTTTTTATCAATTAGCTTTTGTAATGATTTATAGTTATTTATATTATCATACCAAATATAATCATTACTTTAACATCATTTATTGAACTATTACATTTTTTATGTCCAACACTCATTAAAAATACTATGGCAGACCCCATAGTATTTTTAATATTCGATTGTCTTAATCTAAAATTTGTTTGAAATTATTAGGTCCGATAGTTGGAAATCGATACACCCCTCGAAATTCCACGACGGGATATACTATTGCATTTCGAATGGACCGTGTTTATTCTAAATATTCGACCTGTGAAAGATTGACTAAAGAAGATTTGAATTCGATGAATAAATACCGGGCGGGAGGCGAAAGTGAAAACTTACATATTTGCCTCCCGAGCACACGCGTCCGCATAGGCGATCGGGTTATTTAGCATTTAGCCGCCGCCATTCGGGCAGGATGGACTGAGGAATAGAAGAGCGCGCTAGAAGACTGTAAACACGCGTCTCAGAGTCAACAGTACCGGGAACGAGCGAAATCACCCGCCGTCTGTTTGCCGATCTCACGGCGGGACTCCATTAGTTTCCGGTGCAAATGAAACTTCCCCCCGCGAGTGGAACGAAACGAGCCGCGGCGAAAACGCCTCAATGGTGGCGCGTCCGAGGTTTTCGTTAACGGCCAGTCTATACTTTCCACTTCGCGTTGTTTCTCACGGTTCGGATAGTCAGTGGCGAAGGGTACGAGGGAGGGGCCGCCCGGGAACCAGTCGCATTCCAAAGGCGGGCTGTTTGTTAAACCTCGTCCGACGTCCCGGCCAGAACAAATCTCGTACCCCCATGTTATTCGATGTCTCGGGAAACGTTTCATGACGCGTGAAACGTCTTCTTTACATATTACTCACCTGAACTTGAAAATTGGTTCAAATATTATATAAACCCAGAAGAAGCGGGTTCGAATCACCGAATTTTTTGTTGACAATTCATGATATTCATGTAAACTCACATTTAAATTACGTCGTGGGTGCATATTAGCATTAAGAATCAAAATAATACCAAAAGAAAAGAGTTTCCAATTTCAGTCTTTCGTAAACGAGACACTATTTTAATTTGATAACTTGAATGCGTAAGTACTGTTTTTAGGATCGAACCTATTTTGAAATTAAATGTTATTAAAACGGATCGTAAGAAATTTAATGGCCTCGACAATTAAGAGCAATTTATGGATTTCACTATTAAACAGTGCGGCGATGTACACCGAAAAGGCTATGTTAATCAAACAATAAAAACATGTTACCGCGCGTATATGGGCGCGAGTTTGTTTTATTTTTTCTTGGTGAAATAATTGAAGGAATCGCCACTAAAAGGACTTCCAACGGTAATAAAATTATTAACTGGCGGGAGTTGAATAAAACATGCGCTATGCGGGCGCGGTGTATGGGGGAAAAAATTATATTTCTGTGGTTAGCCGAATAGCAAATCGAACGGTGATAAGCGGCCGTCACTTGCTAGCGGGCGATCGTTATGAGGCTAAATATGAAAATTTTGCGTTTTCAGCCTCGTATTATGTGGCGAGTCGGCAACGAAACGAGCATTATTAAGCGAGATTTACGCAACTTTCGAGCAGCCTGTCGTTTCAATTCGGCCCTAAACGCCGAAGAATAGACCCCCCCGTCCGTTGCTGCGGCGAGCGGTTGCTACGTCGTCGTTTTATTGAAATTCCGCCGGTGATAACGCATTACGTAACTGCCGCTTTGTACGTCCATCACGTTCAAACGCCCGATCCGGATTTAGTATTCAAGTCTTACTTTAGGCTTCCGATCGATTACTATCGTCTAGAGTTTCGTTCATGCTGTTAAAGGCGGCGCGATAATCCGTTAACGGTTGTGATAACGACGCGTAGCCACCGTTAATTGAAAAGCAGGGAGGGACTATTAGTCCGCGCGTTCCATCTGCGTCTGGAAAATTCCGCGGCTGTCTGTTCTCCGCTCGGTATGGAAGCACGCAACCGCCCCCTTTGTCTGAACAGCGGCGGTTTGAAATCGGATAAAGCATGGGAACGCCGCGCCGAGCGGATTGCGGCGACTGTATCGAGCGGGGCTGCTTGCATAGCTCGCTTTATTGGCTGTAACGCGGCCGACAACTGCGCCGGCACACCCGCGCCGTCTCCTCTAATGAACACCGCGCACGGAGATTTACGAGCCGCATTCCGCACGACTCCCTCCCCTGGGCAACAATCGTATCAAAGTCACATTTAATGCACCAAAACCGACGACCTTCGATATAGAAGTTTATTTTCGAAATGTCACTTGTGAAATTATGATTTGATTTATGTATTGGTCCGTGTTATGTTGGGGCTAATCAAGTTTTTTTCTGGAAGGAACACTTGGCATCCAGAAATTAAGAATTATCTTAACTGGATGGTATATTATAAATCCTAAGTCAAAAGATATATGTACTTGATATCATAAACTTCGCTGACTATTAGATAACTCGCCTTTAAGAGTTAATTATATACATTTCAGTGTAAGAAAATCCCGCAATTTGTGGACAATTTCCTTGCTATATTCTTTAGTGATCGCGTCCGTTTGGCATTGATAAAGTCGTACTCGTTTCGTTCACTAGAGCGTACGGAGAACTCGCTCGTTATAAACAATAATTACCCCCCGTCGCAACATAGATAACGAACATAATCCTAACACGTGTACATATCCGGCTGGCGTCGCGTGCAGCGGCGTCTGCGGTGGATTCTTTACGAGTGCATTGTTTTAAACGGCTTTTGACACGGTCTCCGCATCGGCGAGAGCTTTCAGTGCGTGGTCGACCCGCATGCCGCGTCGTTGTTAACCGCATTGTCTCACCTGCTTCGTTTTCTAGTGCCCAAACCCTATTAACACCCCTGGTCGCGTTGATAATAACCCCCGAGAGATTATCGTAACACATCGACGCCAGTGCCACGTCGACCGAGCGCCGCCACACGATTCGTGCGCCTTCCAGTGATGAGACTTCATTCATTCACAAGCGTCACTTCCGAGAAGCGATTGGGCCTAAGCACTAAACTACGGCGCACGAGTTTAAACTCTACCCCAATAGTTATGAGAAATGGAATCGAATGGTAGCGGATGGCAGACGACCGCCGCCGCGGCCGACCCCGCCGTTTGAGTTAAGTAAACATCGAGTATTATCTGTCAACGGCCAAGCATCAAACGCGTGTGTGTGTGTGCCGTGAGTGCACACGAAATAATCGAGTTATTCATAAACTAAACTTACTAAAGCTATAGTTAATTAAAATTAGGTCACCTACACGAGACATAAAATTCATAGCAAAAAATTCGTGGCGATATTTTGAAACGTGCATGCCTTATTGTTTACTTACCTTTTTAAGTAGTCTTTTACTGTATTTATAACACGTACTTACTGGCTATATAAATAAACAAAAAATTTTGTTTATTATTAGACATCAAACTGATATTAAACCATAACCGTCCTTACCGGAACAAATTTGCGTTGTACGCGTCACTGCTATTTTTAAACCGCGACCAGATAAAAAAACTCTAAAGGGCTAGAATATTCTCACGCGGTCAAAACCGAAACCAGTCGCATTAATTTGCCCTTACTTAACTTAATTGGATAGAATTGCATTTTTAGTGGTAAACGAGTTCAATCTACTGATTACGATGATGTAACACCAGCATAACAGCTTCCTTCAACTAACGCGATGATATGAATCAACGTCATTGTTCATTGTTAACGCCGATTGGCTTTTCGTAGTATGATACTTGGCTTAGCGAACATGCTAAGAAAGCATTCGTTTCTGGCATTCTTCCGTCGTCTTTCAAAAGCAGTTTTCTAAAACTAAAAAAAACCTGCAGCACCATATCAGGTTTAAATATAATTTCAGAACTCTTGGTTTCGTGTATTAAGCCCCACACTTTGACTATATAAGTCACAATATAAAAACAGTGTGTCGGTTTGTGTGTTCGCTAACAACAATGCGCCTGGGACTACCTACGCACCGTTCCGGGAAGTCAGGCGAAACTCTGTGGCATGTTTACGATTATACGACGGATGTAGATGCAGGAATGCCATTTTGTCCTAGCGATTCGACAGTTTCTTTTGTAAAACAATCGTCGGGTTTGTGCTTGAGTTGCTGCGATAAGGATAAATGACGATAGTGCACTGGTATTTAGGCCCCTCGTTTCGAACGCTATACGTCGGGCCGTTTTGTTCCGAATATTTGCTTTTACTACGATAAATACTTCGTTTTTGAATCGTTTAACTCTTTACAATTTTTGCTTTGTTTTATGCTAAAACTAGCTGCTGCCCGCGACTACGTCTGCGTAGAATGGGCTGAAGGTAAACATTCAGACAGAAAGACAGATATACATAAATTGTAGCCTATGTATTATTCTGATGTATAAGCTATATTATTGTAAATTTTCATTCAAATCCATTCAGTGGTATTTGCGTGAAAGAGTAACAAACATCCATCCATACATACAAACTTTCGCCTTTACAATAATTATATGTTATATATTAAAGTAAGGATTTGGGCTTATTCTGTACTTTTCATACAATTTTAGTGAAATCGTTACAAACGATTCGTTAGACGTAATTTTTTTTTCTAACTCCGTTTCACTTTACCGTGCTTCTAAGTAATATTTTCGTCAAACAGAGCTGGGAGCTGCTGGTCCTGTCGAAGTTGAAATGGGACGTAGCGGGTGTCACGGCGCACGACTTCCTGCCCCTTCTCCTCTCCCGGCTGCATCTGCGTGATCTCGTCAACAAGGAAATGGTGCAGAGGCACGCTCAGACCTTCATAGCGCTCGCGGCGAGAGGTGAGTCACGTCCCACATCGAAGACAGTCTTATCTTAGTCGAACTTTTAAATAAATTCCAGCCATCTTTCTAGCTTAGTATGTTCGATCTCAGTTCTACTAATCTCATGAAATATTGGTAACATTGGTAAATTGGTGTTGGTTAGTAATTAGCTAACAATAATAGTTGTATATGCTGAAATCAATCGCAATTCTATACGAGGACAAACATGGATTATTTGCATGGAAATACCAGTAATAAACTTAGATAAATTAATTAAAACCATGTAGCAATCCTTGAAAACAACAATTATATTCTAATCTATTTTCCTTCTTTATTTAAAGGGCACCCACTATAACGAATGGATATAAAATGTTCGCAGAGCAATTGCATCAGAATTCAAAATAAACAGGGAAAATTTGAATCCACAGTCGCCTCATCTTTAACTGCTATTGTATCAAAGCCATGAGAATATTTATAGTAATAATTATACAATTTAAGGTTCTATTAAAGACAAGGTATAATAATATGGATATTATTAAGCTTTCATTTCATGAAATCAAAAGATACTTATACACGATACCAATTCTCCCTTAGCCTGTTTCTCGTGTAACAAAATCCCTTAAAGTACAATAGTGCATACAAGGCACTTGTCCATACAACTGTTCGCCTTTGAAAGTCGCTCGGTAATGGTACACACGAAATTGACGGGAAACCAAGGCTCCATATTAGCATCGCAGCGTTTTGTTTGCGGTGGCTGGCGGTAATTAGCATCCATAGAGCATGGCAGGTCACGAAGATGTCACCGCTCTCCAGACGGGGCCGTCATACGCGTGTCACGTGTCACTGAACCTCGCTCATCCCGTCAGCACATTCGCTATGGGAACGGTCTAGTTATTGTCTGATTCACGACGGCGATGATGTCACTGCGGGGTCCCTTTCGCTCTACGCCCACACTCTGGTAAAAATTGATCACATGCATCTCGCGCCCACGTACTTCTGCATCGTTAATAAGGAGCATCCATATCGCCTTTGATGGAAGTTCAGTTTCCGAGTGTGACATATAGGTGCTTTAAAACTTATAACTCTGTTACCACGTATACCCCCAATGAGTACTGTTGCCGGATGTCTGTCGAAGAGTTTATGAGATCTGTTCGCGTGTTAATCTTACGTTTCACGGTTCGCCGGCGAAAGCCGTGGACATTCGGCGCGGGGCGCACGTGGAATTGTTTATATTAGCTTCGGAAAGCCGAGAAATCGAATAGGTTTGTGTACGGGGGTACAGAATGCACGAGTAGAGGGCCGCGTGTGTGTCCCGAGGCGGCGCCTCCCACGCCGCTCGCCCGAGCGCATTCCAGCACGCCTCGGGACTCCCCCCCTCGCGCCACCAACCAGTCTCGGCCCCCCGCAACCCTCATGGGATCATATGTTTTTGTGCAACGGTTTTTGTTGTTTGCCGCAGCTCTCGTTTTGTACTTTTTTCCCCACTACCTCCTCGGATATCATTTCTAGCTTGTCGAGGGAGATTAATGCGAGTTCCCTTGTTTGACCGCGCATGATGGAAGGGAACGCCTGAAAGTGCCGCAAAGCTACTTCAGAGTATTTATTGATAAATCTTTTCCTTTTATTTTTTGATAAAGATTTGAAATATGAGAGCTCATGTCACATTGAACTTAAACATAAGTCTGTTCCAAACCATCACTTATTGCTTAATCTATAAAAGACATCTACAAAAAAACACTAACGACATTTCTTTGTTTTCTTCTATTGCTTGCTCAATATTTTGTAGATTTTTATTTTATTATTAAACTCTTACAACTTTGTTGCTTTAAGTTCACTTTACATTTATTTTCTAAATTTATGTCTTATTTCAATGCAATTCGCAAACACTTAAAGTCGCTTCATTTTCGGACCCTGTCAATCACAGTGCGCAACTATGATTTTTCTTCGTGAGACGTGTGGGTTGTTGCAGTAATGCCGCCGGATTATGCCACCACTCGACAGCTAACAGAGGCTTTGTAGGCGCAGTTCACGGTATCGAGCGAACCCGCATTATGCGTCATTACCCGAATGGCACAATTTACTCTGTGGATTCATAATCCGTCGGGTGTATTAAATTCGTAATGGGTTATTTCGTAGCCGGCGTTACCTGCGGGGCACGGTGATAAATCATGAGGCTTCAACAAAATAAGCAATAAGCCTCGCGACGGCTTCGTCGCGGCGGCATCTAGGGGGAAATGAGTGCTTTATCGGGCGACCGGTGTCGAGGCGTCAATGGCGATTACGATGGGGTTTATCTTATCGGGGTTTTAACATGTGCGGATCCGCTACAAGTAGTTCTCGGTACTAGCTAGTTCCGGTCGGCGCTTTGTAGCATGGACTCCTCGGTAGCCCAGCCGCCTCCCGACCTCGCGGGAGCGTTCACCTCGAGTGTTGAAACGCTGATCCAATACCTACGAACCAACTTCACGTTCAAGGGTAATAATACGGTGATTATGTCATCACGCGGGCAGCCGGCCACGCTAGCTCCGCTCCTTAATTAACCGCTACGTGGGGTGGTGTAGTGAAATAATCGACCGCGGTATTCGACTTTATTGTCACTTGAAGTGCGACGATTGACCGTACTTGAAGTACGGTCAATCGTAACTTCCTCCGGAGCTTTGTAAGTTCCGGCGAATAAGGAAGGCCATGAACGAGTGCATCCGTTGTGAATGACCTCTGTGTTCGCTGTCGCGTGGTACACTAACCACCAATAAAATCGTAGACAGATGGTCGTGTATGGTGACCGAGTACGGCCGGATTTCGGCTGGCCAGCCCACAAAGCGAAGCACGGCCCCGATGTTTGATTATCATCAGATTATGCAAATGCTCCGAGTGAGTCGCTCTTGTTGTTTTATCTCGTTCTTTTTGTTCGTACCCATGGCCTGAGCCCTTTATCTCGGGAACGCCGACATGCAAATTAAAAAGAGGATGGAAATGAGCCCTTTAAATGAAGCTGAAAGAGTGTTCGATATTCATGCGTCGGTCGGCACAATAGATGTACTTAATGATGAATGAAGGGAGCCGAGGAAATCTTCTGTGCTTTGTCAGCGTTCGCATGTTCTTCGGTAATTTCAATGGATATTAAAACGCGTGAGAATAATTATATTTACGAGTACGTTTGTGCAATGAAACATAAAATTGTTACTAAGCGGCAATAATTTACGTGTTAGATATGTACCCCTGGTGTATATATCATTTTTAAAAATGTACGTCCCGCAAGGTCAGGCAGCTGATTTTCCTGCTGTTTTATCGTTTTTAAACATGTATTTGCCGACCGGCTGCCGATAACACTGCGTTGGAATACGGGGTCCTTAATTACTCCGAGTACCTACAAGCGATTTTTATGTTACATTTAATTAAGCATTGTTTTTACGTGTATTCATTTTAAACCAGTAATCCAAAAGGGGAATTCGTGCTTTAAATACCTTGGAATACGCTTTTGAAATGTACAAATATGTGTTATTAATATTTTATCCATATCTGAATTAAAATATTACAATGTAGATACTAATACGTAATAAACATTCGATTATTTGAAGTAACGAAATCGAACTAAATGATTTTATTACCTAAAAACGTAACAAATTTAGCTGCGGGGTGTCGTCAAAAAAAAACATTACATTTAAAGCGAGCCGAATTGGGCTCCGAAAGCGCTGTTCTCGCTTCATCTCATTTCGGTGTCAATTATCTTTACGCGCAACTCGAGACGTCCAGATCCAAATTGGTCCACGGTGGGGTCTTTTTATGGGTACTGTACATATATAATGGTTTTGGCGAAGCGGACCGTGAGAAATGTACCGGGTGAATCGATCGCTGCGCGGCTCGTGGAATGCGCTCGACGCTTGGCGGATGCCGGTTCCTTTGAGCCTGCACTCTCCAGACGAGCGACAACCTCCGCCAAGGAGAAAGGAGCCCCCCGCCGGATATTACTGTAGCCCGTTCGGATAATGCAACTGACGCTTAACTGCCTGTTAGCCTAACGGAATATTCTCTCGTTCGGAATACTTCCCGATAGCGTTATTGAATTTGCAATAATGACCTTTAACACTAATCGCCTTTTTCAATCGAAACGCTCTATTGGCGTGTAATGCGGCGAATTCACCGAGATAAGTTTCGTTTAACGTTTTTGGCCGGTTTCTGAGAGTGGCACGCGCTAATGTATAAATTTGAAATTTCAAAACATGCTTCAACGGCAATAAGAAATTAAAACTTGTCGGTTGAGGAAAATGTGTAGCTGGATTAGATTTGCATCAACCGTTACTAATAAACAGGCGCAAGGTACCACATCGATATGGGCCCATATGACGTGATAGGTAGGTACATCCATTTCACGCTACAATAAAACCAGCTAACCTATGTATACACCGTGACCCGGTTTCGAACTGATATCGCTCGGCGAAACGCCCGTTTGTTATTTAAATCGTAGCGCACGTAGGAACGTTGCGTGTAACCACAACATTATTGTGCAATTATAACTTTGACACACATTATTAAACGTTTGACGTCCATTGCACGCTGCGCAAGCGAAAAATAGCGAGCATATTCACTTTAGGAGAAAAGCGATCATTGAAGCTATTTTAATAAATATTAACGTAAAGTAATAAAGCAAAGCTCTTGACAGACATTATTTATAATTTGAAAATAAAACTTAATTCAAACTTTAAGAGATATTTAGATGAATCATCATGTCTACAAATAATGCAGCAAACATCATTTTATTTTTTTTTTCTGTTGTTGCAGATTACGAGTTCACCTTATACTCGGCGAGCACACTTGCTTCTTGCAGTATCGCCGCTGCGTTACGGGGCCTCGGCGTGGATGGCCACCTACCCCGTCTGCAAGAGCTCACCGGCATCGACTTGGTAATTACTATACTATCAAACTAAACCATTGCGTTCAGCACCGTATTAGATACCTGCAAACGTTTCGAGCAAAAAGCGGCGTAGTGGGGGAATACGATCGCGCGCGCCCGCTTTGCTGCAAAGTTGCTTTCGCTTGCGGTTTCAATGCCTCGTAGAAGGCCTTAAATCCAATACTGAGAAATGGAGTGCGCTCACACAGCGTTTACACGAGGTTCATTTTTCAACCAAAGGCGTTCTCCCGCAGGACTGCCTCCAGACGTGCCTCGAGCAAATCGAGGAGATGGTACAGAACATGATAGAGGAGCGCGTCGTCTCCGTCCCAAACGGCCAAGCGCGCGAAGCGGCGGAGTGGACGCCGCCGCCGACGCAGAACAAGGCGCACAATAACGCCGCCACACCAACCGACGTCCGCGACGTGCACTTCTAACCCACACTGGACCAGTGCATGGAACTATCGCTTTAATTACGGTGTGTATAAGTACGAAAATACTTTAAACTAGAACGTTTAGTTACAACGGTGAATCCGTGATCGAGGACTGATACCAAGACTGACGATTACATGTGTCTAACATAGGCACCTTTTTGAGTGTATACTTTAAGTCCTATCAGAATAGTAGGTTTGTTAAGCCCTGCGTGCTACTTCAGTAATGCTTCCGTAACTAGTAAGACGACTGTCAAGATGGTACTGAACTATTCATCCGATTTAACTTTAGATGTGGATCGAACGATTTCCATTTCTAGTTAACATTGTTCTTGAAATTACAATCTACCTCTTAATTTTTAAGACGATTAACAGTTTTGCTCGTTAAGCCCATCCAATCAATAAAATAGTTAATTCAAATTTAGATTTAAGAAAAATGTTTATGCGGGACCAAAGTTACGATTTGTTTTCATCAATTTGGATACTTAGAAATGCATTTAAACATCTAGATAATATAAAGTGGAGTTAATTTTTTTGGGATTACACAATATATGAAAGGACTTTTCTAAGTGAATCTAACTAGCATTCAATTTAATTTTTCAGTCAGATTAGAAAAAATAAATGAACTCGTAAGTTGATTTCTGTAACGATAAGTAGAATTATTAGCTTTGTTACTGCCTATAACAGTACGTACAAAAGTAAGCAAATTCTCTATAAAATATTAATGATTTTAATCTGACTAAAGTATATCATGTCAATCGAATTCAACTAACATCGGGGGAAGGCAATAAAATACGCTTTTATTATGTAAAAATAAAACTTGTTCATGTATCATTATATATGTATATTTTTCCTACGTATTCCAGATACATTTATTAATAAAGCCACATATTTCAAGTATGCACATATAAGTTACTATGAATTATGTAGCCAATGGGCTATATTTTTTTGTGGATTGTGTAGGCACATAGCCATTGTTCCTTTTGCACGTACGTTGAAACTATTTTAGTTTAGTGCCTTACAGTTAATGTGATAGTTATAAAGTTGATTTAATTTCAAATTGTAGTCACTTCAAGTCATAATATGTAACTTAGGAGTCCTATAACGGTTGAACTTTTAGTGGGAATGGAAAGGAAAAGAAATGTGATTTACGCATGATGGATAAGATATTAGATAAGCAGTTAGTCGTATAGAATCGAGTATTTGTTCCTATATTTAGAACCATTTGAAATATTATGCAATAGTCATATTTCATCAAACTGTACTTAAGAATTCTGCACAACAAAGATCGATACGACCAACACTTCCATGATATGTATGTGATATAATTTCCACTGATATAAATAAAATATATATTTATATGAAAGTGCGAGTGGCACCTATAATAATTAACAAATTATATATAAACTTTAATAGGAACGTTAACTTTATTGTCTTATAAAATCTTTATATCCGTTTGTAATAAAATATGCTATGTTTATTGATAATAATAATGTCCAATGTCTTCCATTGAAATATAGAAAATTGAGAAACAAGCTGAAACATACGTATATGAAGATTTTCGTATCGCCAGACTTGATTCATGATCCACGTTCAGCGAAATGGTTTATTATGTAAATATACTTTAAGATAAAATGTAAATATAAACGTCTTGCTGTAAGCATTCGGTGCCATAAGTTAAACTATGATAAAGTATTTTGTAAACTGTAATTATTAAAAATGTTATAATGAATAGAATATATGTAAAATAGACCATATCTCAAGCAACTACAATCTACATACTGAATGCAGAATTGTTTCATGTAAAACATATGATTATTATAAGTTATTCGGTTGTGGTATTGGTATAATAAAATTTCAAAATTGACATTAATAAAATAGACATTTATATGAATATTGTGTTTATGTAAAACTTTGTGGGAAAATAATACGCGTTACAAAATAGAGTTATTACATAATTAATGCTTATTTGGCTTTTGGACTGGCTTTTTGGAATAGTTTAAGAGATTAGATATTATTGTTATGAAATAGAGTAATTGTTTAATGTATCTGCAAAAATCTTGATTATTATGTGATGTACATATAAAAATATTAAATGAGGACTTCTCTGAAGAGAAGTGATTTATGTTTGTGGTCTACTACACCCCATGTTAAATATAAATAAGAAGCTAAATTCTAAAGATGTATAATGCGCGAAGTTGCGTTTCTTTGATTTTATGTGATGATTACTTTTAAGTTGCTCTTTGTATTGTATAATCGTTACGAGATGTAGATATTTAAAATAAAAATCTAAAAATTAATGTTACTTCTTTCAATTTTATTATGATACATCGATATAATATATCTATTTACAATATTTTATTGTACCTTACTCTTTTTTTTTTTATGTGAAAAGTTGCCAAACGAGCAGACGGTTCACCTGATGTTAAGTGAATACCGCCGCCCATAGACATCTGCTACACCCGAGAGTTTGCAGATGCGTTGACAACCTTTTTGGAAATTGGGCTCCGGCTACCTCACTCACCAGACGAAGCGCGAAAGTATTTATTATGCTTCCACTTTACGCCGGTCTTCTGTGAGGTCGTGGTACTTATCCGGACGAGCCTGCCCATTCGTGCAACAGCCGAGGCTGATGCGTGGCTCTACCACCGTTCTCTACTCGTCGATAGATGGGGGCGGTAAATAGTAATGATGAAGTCAGTTCGGTTAGTTTCAACGTAGCGAAGGCCTTTAAACGGGTTTGGCACCTACTGCTTCTTTTTAAGATAACTTTATGAACGCTACCTGAAAACAGCAATTGGATCACTAGTTTTCTCGCGTGTTGGAACGTCAGCTTAACCCTACTGTATTACCTGTATATCAATGACTTTTTGCATAGTTGCAACATCATTCTATGATATGCGGATGACAGTAACGGTGATATATCTACCGGCTAATTAAATATTTCTTAGGAACACTCCGATGTGTCGAACTAAACATTTTCCAGACAAGTCAAGTTTTGACGTGAGGGTCGACTAAATTCCAATTGAATCCTAACAATTCATTAGTTTGTTCGTTTACCGCAAAACTTTGTACAGAAAACTCATCCTATCCACTTATTGGCGTCCATCGTACCATTGTCGATTCCTTAAAGTCGAAATATCGAGCAACGTCCAAACGAGCACTTGAAAGGGAAAGTTGGTTTTCGAAAACCTAGGTGTCGGCCTAAGAGCGAAACAGTATTTCTCACCGGCCGGCCCATCGACTGCAACTATAAAGCGTAGACCGCGCGGCAGTCTGCAGTTGCACAAATGGGCAGATTGGTCCAAGGAAGGAAGGAGAAGGAGGCCGTGAAGAAGTTGTACGTATTTTTTGTTTTAAATGAGGTAACCGGGGCCCACTTTATTAAAAGGTAACACAATATGGAACACTAATGGCGTTTCAATGTCTATGGACGACGGTCATCACTTAAGATCAGGTGAACCACATAAAAGTATCAGCCTATATATGTCCCATCATCATCGTAAGCCGCAAGACGTCCACTGTTGAACTTAGGCCTCCCTCTTTTACGTGTCCCACTGCTGGGTAAAGGTCTCATCTATTTTCGCGAAATCTTAGGTACCAGAATTTACCTTAATTTTCAACAATTCCGAAATTTTCCCTTTACTTGTGCTATAAGACCTTGCTTTTAACTAAAATTGACAATTCTAGGTCAACCGGAAGTACTCAAAAGGTTTTGGGTCGAAAACTACTTTGTGTTACTACTATTCTTTAGGATGATGCCTATTTTACGGATACTATTTTAACTTTACCGTAGCTACTGTGGTAAGGCCACGCAACAGTGCTCGCTGTTGCACGAATGGGCAGGTCCAGCCGAGTTAATACCACGACCTCACAGGAGACCGGCCTAAAGTAGAAGTGTTACACTTCTGCCTTGCGTCTGGTAAGGTTCCCGGGGCCAACTTTATTAAAAGGTGGCACCGCATCAGCAACCCTAAATGTCCATGGGCGGCGGTTATCACTTAACTCTTAGATTTTTGTCCATTAAGTTTAGAGGTACAAGCAAACCATTTTAATAATTTATATATTAACATTTATTGAATAAACAAAATTTACACTTTGATACATTTCACAATTTCCTATACTACATACATTTGTTGTATTGCATTCATTATTTCCACCTCGATAACGCATTTAAAACAGCAAAAAGGCACGATTTAAAATTGATTATAATTACAAATGTTCATGTATTTGAAATAGCTTCACGGCAGTTATACGATAAGTAAATTAAATGAAGACGATTGGAAGACATTTCCATAATGAATAACGATGGTATTTGGATGTTTATTATTTGCACATTGTTGTTGTGCGTAATACGAATATGCACTATAACTGTTAAAATACTTAATAGATATTTTACATTATTTAGAAACATACTGGAAATGAAATTTAAGTACAGATTAGGCAGATAATTATGAGAATAAGAGAAATATCGGAAATAATACCTATAGTACAGTGGTTTGAAGAAAAGAACAAGTCGGAGAGTGGTGAAAATTGATGAAAAATATCACTTGTAAATTTTACAACTAATATGGTGTAACTAAAATACTTTTGCACTCACATAAAAGTAACTGTGGATTTTATATGATTTGAACATAGAATCTCTGACAAATGTTCAGCTCATATACGAGCGCATGTTGCAATTAAAAAAAAACAATTTTAAACTATAGAGAAAAATCACATATGGATTAATCAAACAAGCAAAATTCTCCGGTCGCTTATAGTTTTCGAGAAAAAAACAAATTTTCACTAAGAAAGTCCGTCATCTTATACAGTGTCATTCAACATGATAAATATAGGAAGGGGGCGACGTCATACTCGTATCGATTGTTCGATATTTTTTGAAGTTATACTTCTTTTGACGCTTTAGGGTAAGATGATGAGAGTAAATTTTTATGATTCGCGCACACACCGTCACGAAAAACCGACATCTGAAGTTAGCTACACATCTACGTATGTTGCGTGAGAACTGACAACTGTATTCACGATATTTATTTTGTGATATTTTTATAAACTTTATATAACTAGATAATGCGTTATAATAAAACTTTCAAGGTATTAAATACCTTTTTTCTATTGTTAGAGTCGTTTTATCTACTTATTGACGCAATTTAACCATGGCAACCAATAACAACTTTTTGAGAATTACCTATAATTCCAAGTTATTTAATTAAACTGTTATTATTTAATGTCCTTTTCATAAGTTCAAAGAGTGCTATCACAGTTTATAAAAAGATTTTATATTCTTTTGTTACGATAAAGAAGTATAACTTCTTATGTGCGTACATAAGTACACCCATGTTTTTTTTTTTAATTTAATAAGTCACAGAACCGACATGGAGCAATCCGACTCGGACAGGTTAGGATAAAAGGTTAAGGCAGTATGTGTTCGTCAATGTGCTGAACATTTGCCGAATCTCTGTATCATGGATGTTTTTGTTTCTTTATTAATACATTTGTATTTGTTTCTTGGAACTCGTAGACTCAAAAAATAATTAATTTAGGAATGATCTCGAATCAATCGTTCGTTCGTAAACACTGAAAACATGTACATGACATTAATGACATAAAATCATAAATTAGCATGACCAAGGCGCAACCCTTGAAAATTGCCAATATATTCATCAAGTTGTTGCATAAAATAGACTTTTAAACAGCAGTAACTAACTTTTAATTATATTTTAATTCGAGTCCAGGTCCTAGTACACCACAAGATGAATAACTTTTTATTGACAATTAAAATCTTATGCATCCCGCAATTTCGTTGTACTGTCCTGCTAACTGGCAAGTAGTGAAATGCGATTAATATCAAATGTTTATTAAACATATGTCAATCGCAAAGTGCAGTGGTGGCAAAATCATACAAGTAACAAGTTCCATTTACAATAAATAAACAAAATATATTATTAAATCTGTACAGAATATATCACACAATACCTAGCATAGTTCCAAAACGTGTGTATTCACATATGCACAACCTTAGGAGTGCTCTTGCCTCGCAGCCAATTTAGAAGCATTGTAGGAGTGCTCTGCGTGTCCCGCGCTGAAAGGCAAATGATATATATTAAATTATCAAATGCTTACACAAAGGTTTTCATCCTCAAAATGTTATCTTTTTTTTTAATTAAAAATTGCAACTGGCCGCGTATCACATAATTATTAAAGAAATTATTACATAAAGTATGATGAGCTTGGGTGAGTTGCTCTAGAGCTTCGGGTGGTAAATTTGCCACGTCACGCTGCAGCAGACGCATTCCAAGTTGTCTTTGTTCGCTGTCGTGCCGTAGTGTTACATCCCTGCTGTGCTTAACACTTCGTAGTTCCGACAACCTGGTAACACAAGATTACATTAATACGTGCCTTTGTATGAGAAGTATTAAGCGAGACTGATGTGATCAATCCTTATAAAAGAACGCCCTATTTGTTGGTTAAAAAAATACCTCCATGCTATTATCGGACATTATCTGTTGCGATGAACACATTTTACATGAATACTTGATAAAACAAATTAAATAAGTTTATATTTCATTTGTACTTACTTTGCTTGCAGCTGAGGCTTTTCTCCGTCAAATTCACTTATGCTAGAACTTCTTGAAGATTTTCTTCGATGTGTATCGACGAGATGCTGTTCCTTCTCTATACTGAAGGTAGGCAATTCAGAAACGGAGTCCTGGCCGAGTTCAGTGGAGACGTCCGATTCTGTTGGCTTATTCTTCGACTTTAATTCCTCATACGCTCGTAAGCTGTCTGACAGTCGTAACTGAAGTGTATCTCTCTCTTCCAATAACCGTGTCAACTCCATGGTTAATTCTTCACAGCGTACGTCTCTTTGATGTAGCATATATAAGGCTATATCAAGCTCGGCCCTAGGTACAGCATCCAAAAGTTCTTTGTTGAAACTAGCCGCCGAACTATCTGGGCTCGGTTTAGTGTCCGAAGAAAAAGTCACATGCTTTTCTATTTTGCTACTCGAAGACCGCATCAAATCTTGCATATGCGATATTTCATCTTTTAACGACACTATTTCCAACTCTTGATTCTCTAATGCTTCTTGCATTTCTGCAGATTTGTTTGCATATTCTTGTAAAACTATGTTCAAATCATTTATCTGTTTATTGAGATTTGTACATTCAACAATTTTAGCATTTAGAGCTTCAGTCAAACTATTCTTCTCATTTTCTAACTCTTTTTGAATTTTTTCGTTTTGTTCCCTACTTTCGTGCATTTTTAATCTTATAACTGCTAATTCTGCTTCTTTTTCGTATGTTAATTCTTCAATTTTCTTCTCATATTCAATCAGCTGTTTCCTTACATTTTCAAATTCTTCATTACGTTGTGCTATTACAATGGAATAGTCATGCGTTTTTTGATATATTTCGGCTTCTTTGATTTGGAGTTGTTTTGTTAATTCTTCTATTCTAGCTTCGAACGTATTTTGCAATTCATTGATCTGTTGACGTAAATTATGCACATCGCTCTTACTTGAGGCTAATTCGGTTTGTAAGCTTTTATACGTGTTTTCGTATTCTACAGAATTAATTTGATTTTGGGTAGTTAATTCTTGAATAGTTCTTTCATATTCCTCTTGTTGAACAATTAATTTGTTTTCGTGAATCAATTTCTCATCATCAGTTTCAGACCGAAGCATTTCTACTTGGTGAATTAATTCAGCATATTTATTTTGAAGAGTACTTATATGTTCTTCTTTCTCTTGGATTTTATTTTGCAAAGAGTTAATTTGTTCCATGGAAATAAGTTTATTCGTCTCATCTTGGGTCGATGTTTGAACATTATCAAGTAAAAGCTCATACTTTGTTTCAGCTGCACTAAGCTTGTTTCTAAGGTCATTTTCAATACTTTGAAACTCACCTTCTCTTTGGGCTAAATGTTGCTTCCATAATTCAGCGATTTCATATCCACGCTGATCGACAGCACTAGCGACATTTGATCGCAGTTCCGCTACAGTTGAAAGTAATTGATCGTTTTCGATATTAAGATTTTTCATTTTTGAATTTAAATCTGCTACTTGCTTTTCATTATCTTCAATATTTTGCATTAACTCCAAGTTTTCTTTTCTTAACTGCATAATTGTTTTATCTGCCTCTTCCAAATTACTCTTTATTTTATTAAATTCTTCCTCCATGGATTTTGTCCTTTCAACCATCATAAAAGTCTCGACTGCATTGATTGTATTTGAAGTTTGTTGTTCTTTTAGTGACAATTGAGATTTTATTGTTTCAAGTTCATAAGTTAGATTTTTCACTTTTGTATCAGTTTCGAGTTTCAAGTTATTTAACGAAGTCAGTTCCCCTTCTAAATCAGATATTTTAGAAATGAACTGTAAAGTCTTTATTTCATTTTCCTTATTATTTTCTTTATAATCTCTTGATAATTCTTCATGTTTAAGTGTAATTTCATCGTACTGAATTTTTAAGGCGTTTAATTCGCTATTAAGATACTTTACATCATTTTTTAAGGATTTATTATTACTTTCTACATCTGCGATTTCTCTTTTTAAGGTTACACAGGTTTCACAATTTGCTGATCTGTCTCCAAGCTCTTTTCGTAATTGATTTACCTGATTTATAAGTTCGTTACAGTGTTCTGTTATCTCTTTATTTTTATTATTTAGTTCATCTAGTAATGATTGTAGTTCTTCGTTCTCTTTTTCAAGTTTTATTACTTCTTCATTAACCGGTTTATCTTGTTGAGATGATGACATTTTGAGTACAGGTGAATCCTGCGAGTCTGAACCCCATTGGAGCGCAGCAACTTTATCATTTGCTTGTTTAAAATTATATTTCCATAATTCTACTTCGTTATCCATTTTCTCTTTCATTTCCGTTAAACGGTCGTTAGCGTTTTTAAATATCTCATTTTGTTTTCTCAATGCTTCTTTTTCTCGTTTTTCTTTTTCTAATTCAGTGTTAAGATCTTGCACCTTCTTTTCTAAAACTTCTAAGTTATTGGCAAGCTCGTTTTCGATTGCCGTATCAAGAATGGATTTCTCCGATAACTGCTTAGATATTTTAAGCTCATTTGATAGCACTTCATTCGCAGCTTTTAGTTCCTTTAACTTTTTAACAGCTTTTAACAACTTAGTATTTATTGAATTTACTTCGCCTTTTAATCTTTCGTTTTCATTTTTTAATTGGAAAATCTCGTCATTGAAATGTGAATATCCAAGTGAAGCGTCTTCAGCTTCTTCGCCACCAAATCCCCATCCTTCTTGGGAACTAAATGGATCATCTTCAGCAACACTGTCTTGTTCTTTATAACAATCGTAAGACTTTTTAGCTACAATTGTTGGTTCATGGATTTCTTCAAGGGGGTGTGAACTACTTTGTGCTGCCTGGATTAGACGACCACTCTCGGACACTTTTTTGGGTAAAGGCTGGATATCATCAACAAATTGTTCAGACACAATTTGAGAATGAAGGGAAGCTAAATCGAGATCACTCTGCTCATTTAACTGCTCTATTGTAGACGTGATCGTCATACCTTCAGTTTTCGGAATGTTCATTTCAAAAACTACTTTATTTTTCACTGTTAATTGCTTTATTTGATCATCTTTTTTAACTAATGCAATTTTCAAATGTTCATTATTTTCAGTGATAGATTTTATTTCCTTTGACATTTCTTCTACTTGTGCAATTGACTGTGATAGTTTGAATGATAATTCAGCGATTTTACTTTCCAAACTGGAAATAAGTGCGACATTATTAGTCTGGAGTGTTTTAACTTTGTTTTCAAGATCCAAGATATCTTGATTCTTATGGTTAACCAGAGCGTTTAGTCTATTTATTTCACTGATATATTGTTCTGTATAATCTATTGATGTATCTGATTTTACAGTTTTTTCTGTCAAATTTTGATTAACTGCAGATAGTTCCTCTAAATTAATATTTTGGTTTTCTATAGTCTCCCTATATTCTTGCAACTTATGTTCTAATTGTTTTACATGTTCACCTATTCTTTCATACTTTTCACTCAATGTTTTCTTTTCTTTAATAGCGTTTTCAATTTGGGTATTGAATTCAGATTCTAGCTCTTCAATATCAATCTTCTTTTGTGCTAATAACATTTGATGTTCACTCGTAAAACGTTTAAGAGTTCCTTCAAGATCATTAAGCTTGCATTGGTACAAAGAAATCTCGGATTCAGCTTCATCTGCCTTATTGGCTTTTATTTGTAAAGAACTGCATTGTATTTGTAAATCAGAATATGCTTGCTTTACTCGCTGAAACTCTTCATTAAGATGTTGAATTTTATGTTGTAAATCCCTATTCTCATTATCTATTTCGTAAAGTTGTTTTTCAACAACTCTGTCGTGATCAATTAAAACAGCTAATCTATTCACCAACTCATCTTCCTGATTTGAGTATTCGCTGTAAGCTTTTTGTTTTTCCTGTAATTGAGTATCTAGTTGATCAGCTTTACGTTCCAAAGAATAACGTCTATTCTCCATGATCGATATACTCTCTTCTAAACGGTAAATACGATGTTTATATTTTTCGATTTCACTTTGAAGAGTTTCTATGTATAGGTCTCGTTCTTGGACTTTAGCGTCATGGCCAAATCTTAATTGGGTTAACTGTTGCTCATATGTCTCAATATGGTTAGAGAGTTCTATTATATGTTGGTTTTTCTGATTAATATCAGTTTCTAAACAATTTATTTTTGTAAGCAAATTGCTGCTATTTTTCTGTTCAATTTCATATTCAACCAATTTGTTATTCAAGACTTCAATCTGATTTTTCATATTTTGTATATTCTCTTGAGCACACGTCAAATCTCTATGTGAACTATCTAATGAAACATTTAATTTAGACATTTCTTCAAGAGCAATTTTATGTTTTTCACGTAACGTGCAATTTTCTTCTTCCAACTGACTAATACTTTGGGATCTTTGTTCCAATGTTAACTTTTCATTCAAAAGATCATCAAATTCTTTTTTCATCTGATTAATTTTTTCTTTTAATATAGGTATATCTTGGACTTCTAATAATAATTGTTCTACTTTAATATTAGTAGCTTCAAGGTTCTTTTGAACTTCGTTATATTGTCCTTCCAGTTCATTATATAATGTTGATTTTTTTTTAATATTGACAGCAAACTTCTTTAATTTTTCCATCAATTCTTTATTTTTGACTTCTAACCCCATAAACTGTTCTTTCTCTTGGGAAATGGTAGTAAGCTTTTGATTCAATTGATCACATCGCTTATTAAGCTCTTCTGTTTCATAATTTTTTTGAGAAATTTCCGTGCGCAGCTTTTCATTTTCAATCGATTCTTTTCTTAATTGTAGTTTAATTTCGTGAATCTCTTCATCGCGTTCCTTGGCCTCAAGCATAATTGTTGAATAGTCCCCTTCATATTTCTGTTGTTGCACTTGTAATTCTTTGATAGCTGTTTGTTTTTGGGTTAAGGAATCTTGCAAATTCTTTAATTCTAAGTCCAAGTCATTATTTTGCAACTCTAAAGCTGCTTTTACAGCAAATAGTTGAACTTTTTCTTCTTCTAAACTTTTTAATTTATCTTCACACTCTGATAATTTCTTTTGATACATTATGATTTCTTTATTCAGAGACTTTACTAATTCTGCACTTTGATCCTTAGACTTTTCTTCTTCAAGAAGATCAATTGTAGATTTTAATTTTTGCGACACGTCGTTAAGTTTGGTAATTTGGTTAATGTATTCAGCTATTTCTTTATCTTTTTGCTGTAAAGAGTTGCCATAACTAAACATTTGTTTTTCATATTCCACAAGAAGGTTTTCCAATTCATGTATTCTATTGTCCCGAGCACTAATTCCCATAGAATATTCTTGGTGTATTTTCTGCATTTCTTGCTGCAATACATCATTAGCTTGCTTGTACTGTTGATCAAATCCAAAATCTTTGTGTACAGTTTCTAAGTCGCGTTTTAGCTGAGAGTTCTCTTCCATTAATTGCTTCACTTTATTATCAAGTGTATTATTATTCAGAGCCAGTTCTTTTTGTTTTTCTTGCTGTTCTTCTAATGATAGAATCTTCATCTGAGAGTCAGCAATTTCTGCTTCACGCTCCTTAATAGTTGCTTTTAATTTAAGTATATCTTTAGTCAATTGTTTAATAGATTTTGATCTATTATTTGCCTTATCACCAGCAAGTTTTTCATCTTGAGGTGCCTCTACATTTGTTCCCTCTATTCCTTCATCTATGGCTAACGGTTTAGGTATTTCTATAGTTTCTTTCATAATATCTATTCTCTCACGTTTCAGAATTTCTATTTGATTACTCAACTCTTCATTTAACAAATTAAGTGTGTTTTTTTCTTTTTCCAAAATGTCAACATTTTTTGTCAAATTCTCACATTCTGTGCTTAATATTTTTATTCTCATCTGCAATTCTTCATTTTCTGCACAAACTTTATTCATTTTATCTAATACTTCTTGTCTTTCTTGTGTGTATAATTCAATTCTTTTATTTAACTCTACGGTTTGTTTAACGAGATCGGACATACTTTCTTTATCTTCAGTTGGTACATTAACTTTAAATGTCTCAGATTGAATTTCGTCAAGATTTTTTCCCATATTTTTATTATATTCTTCAAGTTCTAATTTCTCTTGAGTGGTTAGTGATTCAACCATTTCTATAGATTCAGCAGAACTAACTTTTTCAACACTGAGTTTTTCAAGCTTGTCTGTGAGTTCCATGTTTTCCTGTATGTAATTTTCTAGTTTATGAATTACTTCTTCTTTTTCTTCCTCTAAAGCCTTTATTGCTTTCCAAGCTTGTTCGTTATCTACTTTTAGGTCCTCTATCTGAAGTTGTAATTCCTTTTTAGATGCAATTAATTCATCTATTTGTTCCTCTAGCTGCACTGACTTTATTTCCGAACATACATGTTCATTTTGTAGCTGGGCCATATCTGCTAATTTATCTTCCATATCATTATTTTTCTGTTGTAGAACGTGAAGTTCTGAAATAAATTATTAAATAAGGTAATAACAAGGCATTTATATGACCAATATTATATATAAAAAAAAATATTAGTTAATTACCTTGGACAAGTTCAAATTTTTGTGTTTCCAATAAAGTTATTGATTTAAGTCGAGAATCTGCTAAGTTCTCCACCTCCACCAATTTCTTATAAACCTCAGATTCTGTTACTGAAATCATCATAAAATTAAGTTAAGAACAGCTAGGTAACATATCCAATCTAAATAAAACAGCAATCAGTTTTACAGCAATTACATTACTTAATTCATCAAAGTTAAACCAGATTCACTTGTTTATCATACCTCAATGATATATAATAAATACATATATATAATAAATATATATACAATATAATAAATAAATATATATGCCATATATAATAAATATTTAGGACACATTCTTTTTACACAACATTCTCTAGTCCCCAAATAAGCAACGCTTGTACTATGGGTACTAGAAAACTGATAGACATACTTAAGCATACTTTTTTTTTGTAAATAAATATGCATTATGCATATATAAACACCCAGACACTAGAAAAACACTATGCTCATCACACAATATTTTTCCAGTAGTGGGGATTGACCCACACCCTCTGGAGCAGAAGGCAGGTACACTACCGTCTACGCCATTCGGGTCGTCAATAATAAATATAAAGGTAGACAGTATTATTTAGGGCAAATTATTATGCACGAATTATTTTACATTAAGCAATAATAAATGAACAGACAATGAATATACTTTTTGAAACAAAAACTGACGAAAAGCAAGTCATTAATATCCCAGCCTAATGGAAAGTATAAATAGTAGAACTTACAGCGACCGCTGTCATAATCAACAAGATGTAATTGTAGGTTCCCTTTTTCTTCCTCTAACTCGGCAACTTTTTGTGATAATTGATGTAATTCCTCATTCAGTTTTACTATTTCAGTGTTAGCATCAGATACTTTACTGAAGTTATCTATAGTTTTTTGCATTTGTTTTAGTTTAACTTTGTAATTTGACTTAACTTTAATCATGTTTTTGTTAGCTATCTCTATTTCTTCATTTAGTAAAGCAATCTGGTCATGTGCCAATTTCAATTTTTCTTGCAATGAATTGCCATCTTCTGTCACACTGTCACTATGCATTATAATATTTTCTTCTTTTAATATTTTGCCAGAATCTGTAGGCTTTGAAACATTTATTTCTTCTGTACAAACGCCAATATCAATTTTGTTTATATTAGAAAATTGTACTTCAATTTCTTGTTGTAATTTATTAATAGTACTTTCCTTTTCATTATTTTCAGATTGCAGTTTAGATATTACCTCATCTTTATGTGAGAGTAAATATTCTTTTTCCAATATATCTTTGTTAAGAGATTGAACTATTAACTCATGTTTCATCATGGTTTCATTTTTCACATTTGATTTTTCTGTTTCTTGATGTGATATATCAGCAGATAGGTTGCTCCAGGGTGACTTAGTTTTAGATGCTGTATTTCTTCCTCCCTTTCGAGTTGGGTGAGGGCTTGCTTTTTTGATAGGTGAACTTGATGTAGGTTTCTGCTCCTGATACATAACAGAAATCTGACTTTCCAAATCCTTGTTGGTCTGTCGCATTTGGCAGTTGATCTGCTCTAATAATTCAATTTTTTTCGTCAATTCTATCATTTCGGATATTTCAAGTGTACCCTTTTCTTCTTTGACATCATTATCATTATCCTCTAAAGATGATTCCAAAACACTTGCTTTTGTTATTGTTTGTATTTTTTCTTGCAGTTCTTCAATTTCTTTATTCTTTACTTCTAATTCTTCTACTAATTTTGAATATGATACTCCAATCTCAAACCGAGATTTTTCCAGTATTGTGTTGGCTTCTTCTAGACTTTTAATTTTTTCCTCTTGTTCGCTAATTTGTTTGAGTAGTCTTTGTTTTTCATCGTTCCATTCAGTCTCCATTGCAATAAAATTAGACTGCATTTGACTCATTTGTTGTCGAGTATCTTCAAGTAAATCCAGAGTATCTCTTTCTACAAAAAAAATATAAGAGTAATACTAATCTTGATCACTTATTTCAAATTGATCTTTAAAAAAAAAACTTTAACCCACCTTTTTTACTCAGGCTATCAGATATTAATGTAGTGGCTTTATTCTTAGCCTCAATGATCTGATCTTTTTCATTAATCTTCTCTTGTAAGTCTAAAATAGTTGTTTCCAAAGCTTTCATTTTTACTTGCATAACACTAAGCACATTTTCCTTTTCTTTAATAGTGCTTATTAATTTTGTAACAACAGAGCTATTATCTCCCTGAAAATAATTAAGTTACTAATTTAGATAATTTAAAATATATTAAATTAAATATTATATGCAGTTAACTTCGGTGGTAAGGCCACGCAACAGTGTTTGCCGTTGCATGAATTGACAGGTCATGGTCAGACGTCTGTTGAGTGAGGTAGCCGGGGCCCACTTCATTAAGAAATGGCAACGCATCTGCAACCGTACGGGTGTTGCAAATGTCCATGGGCAGGCGGTTATCACTTTAAATCAGGTGAACTGCCAGCTCATTCACTTTCACACATAAAAAAAAAAGAAAAAAAAGGGAAATCTACAAATTGAAATCATTATACTGATAAATATTCAGTAAAATACTATGGTTTGTTTGGTTGACAATCTTGTTCTAGTGGTAATCATACGGAAACTTATTCTACTCACGAGTTATATTATTACAATTATGCTAATTATGGGACAGACGTAAATAACAAGATTTAGTTCTTGTTTTTTTGTACAAGTTTACAAATGGGACTATAGTTTCTGCAGAATTACCATCACAAATATTGTTAAAAGTTCCCTGCCGTGTACCACGTTTTTTTATTCCCTCAGTCAAACACAAATTGTATAAAACTAATCTTGGTCATCATTTTCTTGTATGAGCATAAGCAGATTGTATAATGAATGTGTCATTGAAGGTAAGAATTATTTAGCATTGGTGGTTCTTAACAATAAATCAAATAAATACATTTTTATTTCTTTCCATTCTTAAAATCATAACAATATAACACTTAGTCTCCAAAAGACATTTATTATAATGACCTTTAAAACTTTTATGACCTAGTTTTAAATATTTTGCACATGCATTTAGATTATAGCTCATATTTAGCTTTTCCCTAATTCTTTTATTGCTAAGGAGTGTTTTTATGTTATCACATTGTCAGTTACTTCCAAACTTTAAACTGTGATATGGTGACTAGAATATTTTATTGTTACTCTATATTTTATATAGTAATAATCATTCAACAAGGTGTTATATTTTGGGTAAATGTAAATAACTTTAACTCTGGCGTAATTCAATTAAAATAAATTTTAAATGATAGAGAAAAATGACTAATGAATTAATCAACAAGCAGAATTCGATGGTCGCTTATAGTTTTCGAAAAAATAAATAATGAAATAGTGTGATTTTTACTATAGAAATCTGCCATTTTTTTGTTTGGACCTCCGCTCCCGCCTGAACCTTCTAACCTAATCTGTCCGAGTCGGATTCGCTCTGTGTCGGTTCTGTAACTCATTAAATTTAAAAAAAATCGGACTATCGATACGAGTATGATGTCGCCCGCTTCCTATATTTATCATGTTGGCAGAACTGTGTATTGAGTTTTTGAAGTCAAATAAATAAAATGGTGGATTTCTTAGTAAAAATAACAAGTTTCAAATATTTTTTTCTCGAAAACTATGAGCGACCGCTGAATTCTGCTTGTTGATTAATTCATTAGAGATTTTTCTCTATCATTTAAAATTTATTTTAATTGAATTATGCCAGAGTTAAAGTTATTTACATTTGCCATATTTTGTAAGTGATGACCTTTGTATACATGAGTCTTTTCTTTTACAGTAAAGTTAAAAAAATATATAATTCAATACCTTTTTAATATCATGTAAAGGTGCACTATCGGATGGTATCTCTTTTTTTATAGGTGCTGATTTTTTCATTGGCCTTTTACTGATCTCCTTGTACTGTTTTATCCTTTCCATTAACAACTCTTTTTGTTTTAATGTATTTGCTAAACTTTCACTAATACCAGGAACTGTTGGGTGAAATATAAATTTATAATGTAGGTAAGTAAGAAATGTACAACAACCATAAAATAAAAATTTTAAAAATTTATGTCAGAAATCTACATTTACAACATTTTATTTAGAAGAAGATGCTTACTGTTTAAAGCATCTTGAACAGATAAAGTTGTTGAAGTGTCAGTAGCCACAGAGTAACCGGTTCTTTCGCTCATGGTGGATGCCATTTCTGATGCTGTATCTTCAACTTCATCATCTAAAATTACCATGTTATATTTTTACTATGTTAACTTTGACCAAATAAACTAATCAGCTACACATTACAAAAACCACTGATGATTTATAACTTTAAAATGTTTACTTATAAAACAACTTTATTAACACTTTGGATATTCTTTAATAAATTCTACAAAGCATAAAAAAAGATGATGACTAAAAGAAGACACACCAAACGGCTTTCCCAAAAGTTCTGCTGTTGCTTTCCGATGCTCTTTTATACGCTTAGAAACAAGTGCAGCATTTTCTAGACACTTTTGTGCTCTTTCAAATTTAATTTGGCGTTCCGAAGATGTTGAATGCTAAAAAAGTTAACACATAAATTTTACTTCTAGAATGTGACTATGATTTAAGAACGAATCCAAAATATTTAAGTCTTTATGGAATTCATAATACAATCTTTAGTACAAAACTGCAAGGCGTTTAATATCGAATTTATATAATCGAATAAAGGAATACACTTTGTATCTTCTTTGAACTAGACAATAATATCATGATAATAAAATCAGACATGTATTAACGTGTCTGTGAGACGAATGAGATATTATTTAAGATATCTACACACTACAAAGTAAATTACCTTAATATTTTTAACACTGCCTGCGGAACCAGATACATCATCTGAAGCCACTGCTAAATTTGAATCAGAGACATCCATTTGATCCTTCTCAAGACGATCAACGACGTTCTTATTGTCAGACATTTTTTCTTATTGACTGCGTACATTAAAGCGCTATTTATGTTTATTTACTGTCCACGATAACTTAAATTAAAAAAAAAATAGTTACAGAATTAACATTAATTAGAAATTCTAGCACGTAAACATAATATTTTGCCACCACCTGGCACTCAATCACTTGTCAGTTGCCATTTTTTTATTTTGATCCACGTCAGCACAGATGAATAAGAATATAAATGTAAAATGTAACTAGCATCAATTAATATAAAATGTGAGCATGGTTTAAGTTCAAATTTTTACGCCGTCGTTTGACAATGCATCGCCGCAAGAACTTTTCAATTAATTTCAAACATACACTAGGTACAGCATATTCGCCGGCGATCGCGAGGAAAATTTTACCATCGCGAGGTTCCCATTTTATATTTGAAAAGTGCAGCAAAATGAAAAAATTGTATTTACGCTAAAGAAGTATAACTTTTACGTGCGTACATAAGTACACACATCCTTTTTTAAAGTTTAATAGTGAGTTTGCATACGATCGTTTGCTTTTACGTAATTAAATAAATACTTTTAGCTTTAGAAGATTAATGGCTTCGTTGATAATTTTCGAAATAATAAATTTTCGTAAAGTGCTTATTTTCGTGAATTAATTGTTTTATTCATTAATTTATAACTAAATTAAATTTTTCATTATGACCAATCATTCTATAATTAATGAAACATAATTAAATTGCAATCTTGACCTTTTAAATTCTATTGGATAGGTTCCATAATTGATCGCGATGTAGAAGTTCAAGCCCCGTGCTTTGTTATGCTTTCCTTGTTATATTACTTGAATTGATTATCTTCCGTTAAAAGTTTCCTTGTTATATTACTTGAATTGATTATCTTTCGTTAAAAGAGGATTGCAGATCACACGTTACTGTTAAATTCACTGGTTTAACAGTAACAGTAAATAAAAATAACAAAAAAAGTGAAGTGTAATTATGTATAAAGTTTGAGATCGACGTAATTACTGTTTACTTTCCTCTGAACTATAAAATACAAACGATGTACTATTTTTAAACTTGTTTAGTTTTCAAAAGAGTTATAATTCAATGTAAAAAGATAATGCGTATATGATAAGGTTTCATTTCATTTATTATTATTTCAATTTCTTTCATCAAATCTGTCGAGCATAGTAGTATACTCCAAAAACTTCCAAAAAAAATCCGTAAAATACCATAGATCAAAGAGTCGTAAATTCATAAATAAAGTTAGACGATACGACAACACTATTCGACTAATTATTTTCTGTTCTAATTAGGGATGTCGAAAGTGAAGAAATATATATCGATATATATAAAGTTAAAAAAAATCGATATATATAAAGTCCAAAAAAAATAAAGATATGTCAAGTATTAAATATTTGTTTTTTTATTACATTTTTTTTATGTCATTATTGCAATCAATTTGCAGATATTCAGCAATATGTATAAGATGAGAAGGGCTTGCACAATAGCCGTCCAGTGACTGCTCCGTTGATTCATGTGCCTTTCAGAGAAGGTCTTGGGGAATCTTTCTCTTTAGTCTACGAGCCACTGTTTGGGTGTTCATTAGATTGACTGCCAGCATATTTGGATGATTAGTGATTCGCTTCTTGTACGCTTTAATCCTTTCGGAGATTTCTACTATGACGCTTTTGACGCATAGATCGCGATGGAGTCTAATGTTGGAGATATATCAAGGTGCGTTCGTAATTATTATAGTATATATATTTAAAAAATATATAGTTTTTGATATAACTTCAATATTGAATATTTAATATCGATATATTGGATCCGAATATATCGATATATTATTAAAAATATATTGATATTTTTTCGACATGCCTATTCTGGCTTTCTGACAGGACAGAACAGAACTAAATTTTATCATTCTGAAATCAGAATTGAGATATTTGTAAAAGAAGAAAAATTTTTGAGTTGTATGTTTTTAAGTATTAAAAGTTAAATGGCATCGTCTCGTATTCAGGTAAAAATATTTCTTAAAAGCTTCCAAATTACATCATCAATGTTGTGTTTTCAATAGACGAGATTAACATCTCACTTTGCTGTTTCCTCTTTTCTTTCCAGGCTACTGCGCGTCAGTTATCAAACACATTTAAGAAGAAAAGTAGATTTGATATTGGTATCGCATCTGAGTTACCGCAAGCATATAAGAAGTTTTGGCGTGAATGGAAAGTCTTGAAGCCTGCTGCAGTGCATTTTGTCCCTCAGGAAAGCAAGTGGAAACGCGATGATTTGACGGGCGAAACTTTACCTGTGCAGAATATTCCTATACCTTTAAAACATCCCGTTGAAATTAACGAGGGTATTTGGGGAGGTGAAGCTGTGATTAAAGGTTTGTTTTAAGGTTGTTTTTTTTTAAGTTGATATAAAGCAATTTATTAACGTAAAATCTAAGGCTAGGGAAATAATATATAAAATATGCATTAAATCGCAAACTTGGTTTCATCAAGGTTATTCAACATGTTTCCCTCACAAAATAATCAACACTGAGTTAATTATAGACGGTTTTGGTTTTTTACATTTCATTTTCATTGATTATCTCAGATTTCAAATTGTCAATTTTAATTAGTTAACAAATTTTATTTAGCCAATATGGGCATGTGTATTTTTCGTTTACTCATATATTTTTAATTTTAAAGAAACATTATTGAAACGATGATAACTAAGTAATTAATAGGTGGAGACATAGATTTAAATAATAGAATTATTTTTTTTAGATTTAAAAAAGAATTGTAAATGGTGTTAGTATATACAAAGGTACATCTAACTTATCAATTTGAAATAATTTAATGTTGAACATAATTTTTGCTAATAATGTTTTTCAGTTTAACTGAATTCTCCACCAAAGTAAAAATGTGATTTCCCTCTTTAAATTACAAAATTTTTTTTTTCTAAAAATCTATGTTTCTATCTATTAGTTACTTATATTCATTGTTCGTTAATATTTTTCCTTATCCTCTTAAGTAAGCAGTACCCTAACTAAAAATTCTAGTACTGTTTTTATAAAGGATTTTGCATTTGCCTATGAATAGGTATAATCAACGAAACATTTTACTCTCATAATTTTTTCCTAAATTGTCAAAAGAAAGATAGGTATCTTCTAAATTGTGTGTACTTATGTATGTACATCTTATGTGCTGTTTGTTTGTTATTCTATATAAAAGAAAAAATACTAAAAATTTCATCCCTTGTGTCAGTACTCTTTGTTTGTGAAAAAACATTAAATATACATAAATTGACTACTTGGAGTTATAAGTAAATATCAGAAAGTTGTTATTGGTTGCCACTGTTGTTACTGCAGTTACAATTCTACCACATATTTTGATTGCAGGTTTTCAAAAGCGTGATCCAAGAAGGCGTAGAGTACCCCACTATTGGGTACCAGTGCTGAAGAGAACTGTAGTTCGTTCAGAAGTTCTAAATACTCATCTTTCTGTGACAGTAACGGATAGAACTATTAACCTAATTAATGATCATTATGGATTTGATCATTATTTGCTCAAGACTCCTGCCTGTGATCTTGTATCAATGCTTGCATTGAAGCTTAAAAAGCAAATCCTAATAGAATTAATGAATGGATGTCCAAGACATGCCCATGATCCTCAGAAACAACAGGAAATTTATAACGAATACAAGACATATTTATCTTCAGTAAGTATTATAGTTATTTTGCATTTTATTATTATTTAATAATGCACTTTCAAAAAGATATATTGGTATATATTAAGCTTTAGTTAAGCCAACTTACCAGTTTTTCAATCTTGTAAATTTTTTTCTTAAGTGATAGAAATATATAATTTTAATTTTCTTTTTATAGTACACACCTGAAGAAATAGAATGGTACGGATTAACTTGGTATGAAGCATTAACAAAGGTGGCAAAACAAAAAGAAGCTCAAAACAAGCCTGTTCCCTTAAAGAATATATATCGGAAGAAGCTGGTGGAGAAATTAAAAGCAGCCGAGTTGGAAGAAAAGAAAGATGCTACTGATGAAATGTCGTAAGTTAAAATTTTATTTCATGATAACTGTGGTAAGGCCACACAACAGTCTTAGCTGTAGCACGAATTGACAAGTCCGTAGAGGGAAGGACCACAACCTCTCAGAAGACTGATGTGAAATGGATGGTGTTATACTTATGCGTTTCATCTCATGAGTCAGATAGCCGGAGCACACATTATTAAAAGATAGCAACGCAACTGCCACTCTACTGGTGTTGCAAATGTCCATTATCCAGCAATTATCACTTAACATTAGGTGAACCACCAGATCGCCTTCTACCTATTCACGTAAAAAAGAAACATTTACGCAAATACTATACATCAATATAATACACATTATAATAAAACTAACTTATGGATCATCAGATTTGATAAACCACAAATCCTCGGAAAAGAACACCGTTACTAAGGATTATACGCCAGGCTATTGAAATAAAGAAAAAATTCAATAGGGAATAGGGGATGGTTAGGCTCTTTTATCGGCTTGGGATCTACAGATCTTGTGAAACTACAATACTAAATTAAATTCTTACCTGAGCGCACCCACACTGTAAGATTTAATGATACTGTTAGCAGTGTACACTGCATGGATGAGAATAAAATTTATAATTTTCAAACTGACTATAGCCCGAGTTAATGATGACACCAGGACGACTGCATCTCAGTCCAGCCCTTGACCAAAATGCTGTTTTAAGCATTTGAAATGTTGGATATTTCAAAACTAAGATAAACTGTGATAAAATCCATCAGTTAGTTTTACTGTAATTAGATGAATTAAATACATATAATACAATAAATTGTACCATAATTCAATAGTATATTATAACACTTTAACTTATTACATTACAACTTCCTACTAATAAGCTGAATACTTTTAATTAATATTTAAATTCAAATTCACAATCAATGGTGGTAAAAAATACATTGTATGAAAAATATTTTAAATTGATTATAATATCTGTTTTCATTTATTCACAGGACAACAACATCTTGGCTATCAAAAATGAATCCTTTCGGCAAAAAGGATGAAGCTTAGATTTGTTTCTTAGTCATGTGAATTGAAGATATTTTATAGAAAGAAATAATAAAAGATATAGGTAGTTTTTTGATGGTTAATTGATTTTTTATTTATAAAAAATGTTATTAAATCTTTAGCTATCAGTGGCTTAGCAAAAGCTAAGGTCCCTTTGAGATTTGCAACCTAATATGGCTTTTTTAAGACACTATGTCAGTACTGGCCACAAGTCTTCATGATAATAAAGACCATGCTTTTATATTTATTCAATGCGAGAACAAAGGTACCACTGCTATTTGTTTCATTATCAATGCCTGGCAGTCTTGCTTCTGGTGTATTTAAAGACTTTGGATGTGCTTGAAAAAGTATATGAATGAACTAAATTTTTGACTTTGATTCAAAATAAAATTTATAATTTTTACAACATTGTTCACAATGAGAACAAAATGTTGCAAACCAATGTATTTTTAAAAAGTCAAATTTAAAGTGTTTGTATATATATATAACGTAACAAGTAAAACTTCTTTATTAACAAAAAATAAGTAAAGAAATAGCATTCCTTCTGCTGGCCAAAGGCCTCTGTTTAGAGTATTAGGGCATAAACATGACGCGACACCACTGTCAATTAGCGAACTTCACCTATCTTCGGATTTTTTTTTATTATTTCGAAACCTGCATATTTTCGAACTAATAACAACTGCATATTTTCAAGCTAATAACAACTGCATATTTTCGAATTAATCATGATGTTTTACTTCATTGTTGAGCACATGATAGTCAGCGTTTAAAATTAACAATTGCATTGGTGCCGGCAACGGGGATCGAACTCAGGTTGCTCGATTATATTGAATTAAAAGGTGAACGGCCCGAACGAGCTATCACGGCTACGAAAATATCTCACTCTGATGTACTTCCGGACTCTCTGGTCCAATACTAATGAAATGGAACAACATGGGAACTAAATCAACCTAGTGCAAAAATAATTTTTAAAATCATTTCATAAATGATAGAGTACTGAGGTAACAAAATTAAAAATACATATGAAGTCAGTTAAAAGGATAGTTCAACGACTGATTAATGTTCGAATTGCGCGATGAGTCTGCACCACGAAAAATTAAAGTGGAAAGGTTATAATAGTGCCCACACAACTAAAGCACATTCATGGATCTGTAACCAGATTTAAGCAAACTCCAATAGAAATTGAGGATAATCAAATTGATCATGTATTATAGCATCGTCAAAAATCATCCAAAAGGATAGATATTTCGTATATGAAAACAACGAAAAGCAGTGAGAAAAATAAAATGCTACCTTAATGAATTCTTAGGTCCTGCGTCCTTAGGTCCTTGATGCGCCAAGCATTGCTTCAAATGCTAAATAACAATGTAGAAAGAAGGCGTTAAGATTTTCGTCGCTGTGTCTATCAGCCGTTTAGCTCAGTGGCTAGAGCGTCAGGCCGTGAATGCCGAAGACGTGGCTTCGATTCCCACAGCGGCGATAATCTTTTTGTACTTTTTCTACATGTTTTAATTCTTAGGTCCTAGCTCCAGAAACATTCAATTGCCACTCTAAAGTTCGCAAGTTTTAGCCATTGAGATATATATATTTTATAGATACTGGAATAATTTGGATAGGCAGAATGTTTCTGCGTCTTAAGAGAAACGCATACCGACCATTCAATGTAAAGTCTGTAAAGAGTGTATGGTAATGCTAAGTACTGTGGTTGGTTTAGAATTATTTTTCATCGCGAGAAACAATCCATCGAGGGGTTTTACCTGATTGGTGCTGGCACCAGGGATCGAACTCAGGTTGCTCGAGTAAATGTAATTAAAGGCGAGCGCCCGGACACTGAGCTATCACGGCTCTCATAAGTAATGACCTTCTTTTATGTGATAAGGTGGCAATGGATCTAGATGTAGGGATGGGTTATACTTGCTAAATCGCGTACCAGGTCTTAAAAGTACGTCCACCTTTTCATACCAGGTACAGAAACCAGGTATCAAAATACTTTCAAAGTATTTTCTGTCCAACGCAACGAGTCGAATACTAGGTTCCTTGCAAGTTAAAACCTTGTGCTGTAAAAATAAGACGTAAAATACTTCGAAAGTATTTTATTTCACGTATAAGCACAATCTGAACCTTATATGTATGAACAGAAGTTACCTAATCAAGTGAGAGACAAACCAGGCGAGACCGATATACATGGCTTCGCCATCGCGCGGTGCACGCCTAGGGATGCCAACTTAGGGATTTTCTTCCTAAATTGAGGATTAAAAAATATGAAGTTTTTTGGGAGGTAAATATTTACGGGAATATTTGTTTAGGAGTTAAATTTTAATCACATTTTAGAAAAGAAATACACAAAACTACTTATTTAAAAAAATAAAATTTTACATTGCTGTGCTGCTTAGGCCGAAGTCAGGCCGAGGCCTATTTGTCTGGTATGAATATTTTATTTATTCTAATATTTTTTTTAATATTGTTTTGATTTTATTCTTAACATATTCATTTCTAATGAATTATATTATATTTGATGTTCTTGACCATTTTGAATGAAATGGTTTATTTTATCAGATAATTATTTTGCCTTAACCTATAATATAAAAAAAATCGTGATTTTAAATTTAATTTTTTTTTTTCAATTTAATAAATTTTACTTGGTTTTCGAATTGCTTTAGGAGTATTATTTTTGAACAGTTAGTAACACTGCATTCGATTCTTTCGACGCTCGAGTTCGATCGGCGTAGTAATACTTACGCTGAAGTTTGAAGGGCTCTTATACTTTAATGGAAAAATACTTTCAAGTCTTGAAAAAATATCGGGCCGATACCTGGTTGGTTTACTTGCAAGGAAATACCTGGTATCAATACTTGGTAACGTAAATACGCATCATCTCTATCTAGATGGTAGTGGTGGATGGGATTACCAAACCTAACTCTAGACAAAGGGATTTACCAAACCTAACTACAAAGCGAAAACGAGAATCCCCCCGCACAGCAGCGCCCCCCCGAAGCAGTCCGCCTTCGCGCAGCAGAGGGTCGCGTCGCCGTTGCACCGCATCTGTTGGTTTTCAATGAGAGGGAGATGATTTACATTGCGAGAGAGTTCTCTACGGTAGAGGCGAACTTAAGATTACGAGAGAGTTCTCTATGGTCGAGGCGAACTTTAGATTACGAGAGAGTTCTCTATGGTCGAGGCGAACTTTAGATTACGAGAGAGTTATCTATGGTCGACTTGAACTCTAGATTACGAGAGATTTCTCCATGGCAAAGGCGCGCTCGTTCGATAAAGTACCACGGCTCTTACTGAACCGGTGTGAAGTTAGGGTGTTATGTTTTCGCGTATCGTCGCATTCGTGCAACGGCTAAAGCTGCGTGGGCATACCACAGGTATTTATTCTTTAGTGACTGTACAGAGAATAAATATATTTTTTTTTACGTTAGAAGGTGGCAAGCGAGCTAACGGATCACACGATGTTAAGTGATATCCGCCGCCCATGGAAATTTGCAACACCCGTAGGGTTGCAGATGCGTTGTCACCTTATAATAAAGTGGGCTCCGACTACTTCACGTACCAGACGAAACGCAGAAGTATGACACTTCACGCCGGTCTTCTGTGAGGTCGTGGTACTTACCCGGACGGACCTACCCATTCGTGCAACATCCCAAGCTGTTGCTGACCCTACCACAGTTAATGCGCATGCGCTAACTTTCACCATGCCTAAATATCTGTGGTAGGGCCACGCAGCAGCCTCGGCTGTTGTAGGAATGGGCAGGCTTGTGCAGGTCAGTACCACGACCTCACAGAAGACCGGCGTGAAGTGGAAGTATAATACTTTCGCGTTTTCTCTGGTAAGGGAGGTATCCGGTGTCCAATTTCCAAAAGGTTGTCAACGCATCTGCAACCCTCGGGTGCAGCACTTAAAATCGGTATACCGCCGTTTTTTCACATTAAAAAAACCCACTTCATTTCTTTTCTATAATCGGAACAGCGCAACACAACGCAAGTGGAAAAACACGGGTATTAACGGAACAAAGTTACTCAAACAAGGTCGTTACCTGGTCCTCCAGGAATATCTGGTTCGCCTTGTGCACCAAGTGCTCCACGGTGATCGTCCCGCCCAAATGGTTCACGGCCTTATACTCCACGACCAAAGTGAGCACCATCAGTGCCTCGACCACCAGCTGCCTATACTCCGGTTGAGGGATCGAATTCAGCACGGTCTCCACCGCCAGCGCGAATTTCAACTCTCCGGAAGTCATCTCTTGGGTCAAATTCGGCTGCAGCACTTTGCCCTGGATCACCAGGCCTTGGCACTGAAAGCGTTTCGATCGATGTAAGTGAATGAACGAGCATGCAACCTGCAAACTTTGATTTACGTTTTATGATTTATTTAATTTCGTTTTGTTTAATTTTTTAATTAAGAGTTCTTAGTCACAGATGTGAAAAAACTATTTGTTACCAGTAGAAAAATAGAAAAACTGCAGTGACTCTAAATATCAATATTCTTTGCAACGTGACTATTTAATTCATTATCGCTGTACAGTAACAAAGTTTTCGCGGATTCGTGATAAATTTCGTCAGTGAATACACTCAAATGTTAGGTGAGAAATCTTAGTGCCCAAGGATTACGGAAATAGGTGCAACATGGTTCCGTTTTGTCCGGGACTCACATATAACTTGATGGAGAGAGGGGGGGGGGGGGGGGGTCAGTGGCGGATTTGCTTTAAGGCCCAATAGGCCCCATATTAGGGGCTTCTAATCGTGACAAAAATTCACTGATGATAACAAGATATGTGATGGGCTCGGAGAAAGGGGCGGCTGGAACTTACTACATGGGCTGGGGCCTAGAGCGGCCTAGATTATAAATCCGCCAGGGTGGTGAGGGGGAGGTGGTCGTTGGGATTCTCAGCTATATTCGTAAAGGTTTTATATAAAAAGATGCTCCACCTTCTCGAGGACGCCCCATACGCGCGGATAGAAGTCCCTTGGTACGCGATTCAAAGCCCCGTCGAGACGGCGCCGACGCAGCCACTGGCCCTGCCGGTCCTGCTCCACCATCGGCGCTTCGTTCACAAACACCGGATGATAATCAGTATCGACATTTCTATTCATTTATTTTTTTTATGCATACAACACAACACAACACAAAATACACTACTTGCCAATAATCATAAAAAATATATACGTTAAAAAAACTTCAAAATTAAAAAAGATTATTTTCGATCAAACTCCTGATGACTCCGTGGCGCTATGCCAAGGTATAGGCCTCGGCGTCGGGGGCGTGCATTCGATCCCCACAAGGGACAAAAATTTGTGTGACCCACATATAATTGTTTCGTATCTGTGTGTTTGTCCACGTTAAATTTATGTTTGTAAATTTTTAAGTTAATTTTTCACGTTAAGTTTATGTTCGTCCTTACAGCACAGGATGTCACGGTAGTAGCGCCACGTTGTATATATTTAATTTTATATAAACCATTTCAATACACCACATATATATATATATATATATATATAAATAATTGCAAGTCAGACGGCAATTGGTTTCTTGTTGTTACAAAGAATTATTTATAATATCTATATACAAAAAATTTCATTAAAATTGGTCCAGCCTTTTAGGAGGAGTTCAGTGACATACACGGGCATAGAAGAATTAATATATATAGAGATGTGACCTGACTATCATTCGCGGCCAAAACTGGTATAGACCTTATGCTGAATAAAGGTTATTTTATAATGTAAGCATCCGAAATTCATCCATGAAACTCTGTGTTCCCTAAAGCTATAAACAAGAAAATTTGATTTAAGAGTACTGACCATAAATAAATAATGATGCGTTTCAGTTTTTTCGTACGTTCGTAATCTTTTGGGGTGATAACTTTTTACATGCGTTATATTGAATAAAAACCGCGCCAAAGTCGTGGGCTAAAGCTAGTCTATTATTAATCTCAAAAATATACTATTGACCTATAGTAAATGTTCAGTAGTCTATAATACTCACCGTCTTCAATGCCGCCTTGAAGGGACTGTCCCTCCAAAACGATTTGTGACTTCTTCCCGTATCTAGTCGAAGTGTTGCTCACGATCGAGAAGTTTCCACGGGCGACTGAAACGTACAAGTTGGTTTCACGCCGAGTTCGAGCGAAGTGCACTTGTGGTGACTTTTAGTTCGGAATTAATGTTAGTTAGTCACGAAAAGGTAAACAATGATGATCGTATTATTAGGATACGTGTGTAACGTGGATCGGCGTTATTGACAAATGATTCAATTCTCTTTTTAAAACCAACTGGAAACATTGGTTTAAACAAAATGCAGGATAACTAAAAACCTCACTCTTACTGAAGCAAACATTTTGATTGTATTTGTATTAGACAACTATCTAATGTATGTATATTTAATAATGAAATTAAATTGAAACTAAGATTTTTTCAAGTCGTTTCGATATTTAAGAAATTTTGCGGCATCAGAAACTTAGAATTTTTTATGTATGCTAGCGGACCGGACAGACGTCTAAAATTCGAAAATTTCAAACTTTGTCGAATAACTTTGTGAGTCTAAACCATCCTCAAATCGATCTGAAGTCGCACAAAAAATTGCATTCAAATCGGTCCAGCCGTTTAGGAGGAGTTCAGTGACATACACACATACAGAAGAATATATATAAAGATATAAATAAGAATCGAATCAATATTTTGTAGGCTCAATCTTTAAACCCTTCGTTGATGATTTGTATATGGCATATTCATTAGAATTTTGTTAACACACATTTTGATCTGGTTCAACAGTAGGCAGTACTCGATTTCTATATTCGTGAATATAATTTGTATATACTATTAAATAGACTTTACTCAAATCTTTGTCAGACATGAGAGAGAAATAAAAAAAATGTGTTTTGGTAAACTTTTGAGTACGTTATACGTATCGCTGAAAATGGGTGTTATGTAGCCATAAACGCGAATAGTATCAAAAACTAAACAATTCATCAGGTTTAAAAATCATGTTCCCCAATATTAAATATTGCATAGAAGACAAATATTCATGGCATCATATAAATAAAGACGCTGTGGGAAAAATTTCGTAAACGTGATTAAGTACATATACTGGTTTAATCCGCACTCGACCGTGTTTAAAAAACCTTTTAAACAAATTCTACAAATTTAATTCTAATAATTTTTTAATAAATAATTCAGGAATTAAAACACTTTATACGAATAAAATCGCTAAGCGTGAAACATAAAATAAATGAGAAACAAATAGCAACGTAGGAATAATATACAAAATATATTTAAATAAAAGTTGCATGGGTTTTTATTGCGTGCTATTCGTAAAGCTAAAATGCAACAAGTGTTGGGACATGCACAAATATTCTGGTAACACAAAAGCATAGCGCAATATCCTGTGCTAATAACTCGCCTTTGTCTTTATTGATCTTTTCCTTTATTACAAACAGGGAGTTTGCTGCAAAGGAAACATCGATTCTTAGAATTACAATGTAAATTATTTTTACACGAATAAGAGAAAATGTAGAAAACGTATTATTCTAACGACAACTATTGAATGTAGAACAAGTCAACTACAAACAAACAGTATAACTAATAACATAAAATAAAATAATTTTTCTTTGAACAATCTCGTTGCAAATGTTATAAGGCAAAATTAAACCAGAAATAATAGACTGTATGTAACGTAAGTTGACCCATGCGAAATTTACGCACAGTACCGTGATCTGTAAAAAATTACAAAAAAAAAGCTGAGAAACAAGGCACATAAAGACTACACATATCGTCCGTTGAACAATTTACTAATACAAATGTGAAATTCTCAAGCGTTATATTGTAGGCACACAAAGCACTTAATAATTTTGTTGCAATATTTATTGTTGTGTAAATGAAATACTTTGTTTCAGTCACGTGCCATTATTGAGGATTTGTCGGGACACATACGGACTTTCCATCGTCATTTTTAATATTTAATTTGGACATAACTTACATAAAACGCAGGTATTAATCCTACAATCTTTATACCGGTTTCTAATATTGTTGTCGATAAATCTATTACTACACTTTACAGGCAAATTTTCCCGTTGTATTGTAATGGACTATTTAATAAGATTTAAATTGTTATCGTGCTAAACTCTGCACTTAGATGAAACATCAAAACTTATAGAAAAAGGGAACGAAAAGTTTTTTGCCGCTGCGGGAATCGAACCCACGTCTTCCAGATTTTAGCCCAGTCGCTTTAACCGCTAAGTCAGACAGATGAAAATCAAGACTAAATTTATCTACATTGCCTTTTCGCAGCAATAATTTGCGCACCTATTATTATTATGGCCATTACAGCATCAAGCAATTTCAAATATCGTTTTACAACGATAATTAGAACAAGTTTTAATATACTGTGTTTTGTTAAGAAAATAATAAGTAAATAGTACATGCATTATATTTTCTCGAGGCATAGTCTTCCTGAAGCCACCGCATATGACCAGACTAGACTTTTCAAAATATTTTTAAATCTAAAGAAATGCAGGTTTCCTCAAAACGACTTCCTTAACGCTAACAATGTGAAAAATCAGCGCTTAGGATTAAAATTAATAATTTCGTTTGTGCACCGGGAATCGAACTCGGGTCACTCGAGAATACAGAATTAAGTCCACAGAGTCACATAGGTCGGCATGGCTTTTTGTTTGGACTTTTAATTATTTTCTTTGGGGATCATAAACCTACACCAATATGCCTAACGATAAACAAGGAAAGTTCAAAGTTAAATTTGCAACACCGCAGCATTAATAATGGCAATAAACGAAATAAATATTCAGCAAGTGTACTTTACCGCTGTTTATAGCGAACTCCTTGCCGCTGAGGATGTGATAAAGGAGGTTCTTCATCTCGAAAGGTGATAAGTTCAGCAGATGTTCGGACGCTTCCTCACCATCGCATGACAAAGTGCGAGACAACTCCGTCGCCATTACCTTAAAATGGGAATTTTTCAAGTTATACCCTCTTTTGGAGCGTTTATGAGAGTGAAATTTTAACGATGCGCGCGCACCGACAGCCAAAAAGCGTCATGGTGAAGTTTTTTAAAAGAACTCTGTTATGAACGCAACCGTTCATGCCCAGGAATGGAACGTGTTCACCGGAAACAGCCGAGGCAACATTATACGGGGCAGAAAGATGAATGGGATTTTTAAAATTGTAACGGACTATTCACTACTCTCCTTTTTATCGTACATAAAGATTTTGTAGCAAAAGAACTTTCTTTATCATTTACTGGCGCTTACATTCCATCTTCTAAACATCTAAGAAGAAACAGACTTTTAACTACTAAAGTTTGAAAATTAAAACACAATTCCAACCAATTGTCGCTTACTATAACACGTAGTGAACTGCTATTAAATAAACAAAAAGCATATTATGGTAATTTTGAAATATAAATGCAAATGCGAAAGTAACTTTGTCGGTCTGTCTCGCTTTCACTCCCAAAACTACTGGACCGATTTAAATGAAATTTGGTACACAGATAGTCTAGAGCCTGAGAAAGGACATAGGCTATTTTATAATTGGAAAAAAAGTGTTGTAAAGGGTTGAAAGATATTTATTTAAGAGCTTCAACGCGAGCGAAACCGCGTGTGAATAGCTAGTATAAAATATAAGCCACCATCGGGACAGCCGTCAGAAGTGAAAACTTAAAACTGGACTAACAGTTTTTTTTTTAATAAATTATAGTATGAATAAATAAAATCACAAAACGATAATTTGAATTGCAAAAGGCATATTTTATTTCAGACAACCAAAAACAATAATTTTCAGTAATTATTTTTTTTGCAAATTTTCTTCGACAATTTTGGAAGTTTTCCCTTACAATAAAAAGTCTAAATTAGACTAAAATTTAACTGTGGTAGGACCACGCAACAGTCTACGCTGATGCACGAATATGCAGGTCCGTTCAGGTAAGTTCGGGTAAGTCCGTTCAATTAACGGTGGTAGAGCTACGCATCAGCCTCGGCTGTTGCACGAATGGGCAGGTTCGTCCGGGTAAGTACCACGACCTCATAGAAGACCGGCGTAAAGTGGAAGTATGACAAACAAACTTTCGCGTTTCGTCTGGTGAGTGAGGTGGACGGAGCCCAATTTCCAAAAAGGTTGTCAACGCATCTGCAAACCCTGGGGCGTAGCAGATGTATATGGGCGGCGGATTCACTTAACATCAGGTGAACCGTCTGCTCGTTTGGCAGTTTTTCACATAAAAAAAAGTACCACGATCTCACAGAAGACCGGCGTGAAGTTCGTATACGCTTCTGCGTTTCGCGTGGTGAGTGAGGTTGCTGGAGCCCAATTTATTAAATGCAACGCATCGGCAACCCTACGGGTGTTGCAATTGCCAATGGGCGGCGGTATCACTTAACATCGGATGAACCATCAGCTCTTGCCAGCTTCTCACATAAAAAAAAACAACTTGCAATTATTATTACCTGAATAATTAGTCCGACGCGAAGACGCAACATCTCGAGAAACAGTTGGGGCTCCGTCCTTATGAACATTGCGAGGTACACAAGCAGCTCCTGGGTCAACATCGCCGTGCTCTCGTCGTCTCCATAGGCCTAAAGTCAATACAGATACTTGAACGTTAACTTATCACCAGTAACCGTCTGAAAAACAAGTACGTACAACATTTTTACTACCAAAAAAGTAAAATCCTACATACTTCAAATATCTCACTCGCATATATACACTTTCTATTAAATTTTGAGGAACTCCACAAGGTAAACTCAAGGTCATACCAGTCAAATTAAATTGATACCACATGGGAGCTGAACTGAACTGACTTCTGGGGTAACAAAAACAAAAAAAAAACTACCGAATTTAAAACCTCCTCCTTTTTTGAGTCCGTTAAAATAAAAAAGAGCCCTACTGTTTTAAAAATATTGACATTCCTCTATTTTTCTTTATGAATATATTATTAATATATTTTTTTACGAAAAACGTATTAAAATTATTTACCCTATATCACATGCGCAACTTAGAGGAGTGTAATGACCCCTAATATGTTGGAATCCGTAGATCCGTAGTATGTATGAAACATACACTCAAAAACATTACCCTCCTTCGGTAGTCAGGTAAAGTATAGATAATAATATAATAATAAATATGGCTTTATATATATGCAGTTAGATGTAACATGGATATTACAATGAACTTATTTACTAAATGTGATATTGAAATTCAATTCAATTGAATACGCAAGTAATGTGCGAGTTTGGGACAAATCCGAAAGACAGTCGCATATAAAACCTCCAAAAACCTAGTCACTGCCGCGCACTTGTAATGATAAAGACAAACACTATATCACGTCGTTATAATGTTAGCGAGTATATGAGGCGTTTATTACCTTTTTGTTTTCGTTAGCATTTTTTTCTCTTCGAAATGACTGCATGAAACAAAGGAAGATTTAATGGTGTATGTTAAAAAAAGTATTAATAAGATATCATTTATGGTCTTGTATCCTACAAGACCATAAAAGTCAAGCCAAAAGTCAAGTCAACACATTAGGCAATACTTAAATTTTTTTTCTATCAATAACATATAGTTGAATTATTAATGGTACACTTAAAACTTAATAAACCATTTGTATGTATTTTTATATGCATGTAGGTTCATGAATAAATCCTGGGGTGGCAACGCATTTATAACCCTTCATGAGTGTTGCAAATGTCTACGGGCGGAGGTCATCGGCCTTCTTACATGAAAAAAGAGAATTTGTAAGCTCACCAGATGTATGAACTAGCGGAGCTCGTAAATAAAAAAGAAAAAGAAAATGGAGGGGAAGCTCACTAGGTGAATGAGCTGGCTGAGCTCGTAAATAAAAAAGAAAATGGAGCGGAAACTCGCCAGGTGTATGAGCTGGCGAAGGTCGTAAATAAAAACAAAAGAAAACGGAGCGGAAACTCACCAGGTGTATGAGCTGGCGGAGCTCGTAGATAAAAACAAAAGAAAACGGAGCGGAAACTCACCAGGTGTATGAGCTGGCGTAGCTCGTTCTCCGGCAGCGGGGCGGTGATGGTGTGCTCGTTGCTGGGCGGCATGCCGACGGTGATCTGCTTCTGGCGCACCAGCAGGTCGGTGACCGCCTTGGCCAGGTCCTCGACGCGCTTGCCGAGCATGCCGGCCGTGTGCCGCACCAGGCCCCACAGCTTCTGCGCGCACGCCTTCTCGTACAGCGCCTTCAGGAGGTCCTTCACAGTCACCGGCTTGCCGTTCTCCAGCATCCCTGGGGGCGAAGATCGATCAAGACTATGAGGTTGGCTATTGAGGTTGTGTAACAGTGGTCAAGCTGCCTTGGGTGGCGAATAGAATGGTAGTAAAAGAAAGTATAGATTTCTAATTCTGCCAACAATGGCTTTGGCTGACGTTGTCGGTGAGTAATCCAAGGACTGTGTAACGCTGCTCAAGCAAGCTTGGGTGACAGCGACTAAAGTGGTAGTCAAGCTTCTTTAGGTGGACTCTAAGGCTATTGGACTGTGTAACGCTGGCCAAGCTTCCTTAAGTACGGCGACTAAAGTATTAGTAACTTGTACCGATTTCTAATTTTACACATTTCTTCTCTATCAAATCATTCCTTCTCTATATTATATGGGAGCGATCATATCATTCCCTGCCCAGGGGTTAATATCATTAATGTATTCATTGTTTTTTTTTTCTTTAATAAATTTCTTTAACCTGTTTAGATATGCTATGCGCATTAACTCGGATTTTGTTTGAAGCGTATACACTGCCCTATGTAGTCTGGTAAATATAAAAGCCGTACCCGTGTTGAAATCGAGGCCGTGCGTGTCCACAAGATACTGAAGTATGTCGCCCTGCTCGTCGAGGCTCTCTGTCTCCCGGAGCATAGCGATCAGCTCGTCAGTCTCCTGCTCGGCGTAGACCAGACCCTGGGACTCGGAGGTGGTGCGGTTGCGGACCACCGGCGGGGTCTTGCTCACCGCACCTGATGAGGTCGGGTTGTTTTACGAGAGGTGGCAGACGTTTGTTGCGCTCATACCTTGAGTTCGAGTAGCCCTTTTGTTGGGGGAATGGGGAGGAGGGGGTGCACGATGGTAGCCTGATAGTGACCGTATATTTATTTATCGAGAAAGGTATCACCAGCAAAGTCATTGTACAGTTTTATGAGAGGTGGCAGACGATTGTCTCGATGATGCGCACCTGATATCGTAAGTTCATGTCACCTTTTTGTTGGGGGGATGGGGAGGAGGAGTTGGGGGCGTATGATGGTAGCCTGATAGTGACGGTTCATTTATTGAGAAAGATATCACCAGCGAAGCTATTTTACAGTTTAATGTGAGGTGGCAGACGATTGGCTTCATGATGCGCACCTGATATCTTTAGTTCATGTCACCTTTTTGTTGGGGGGATGGGGAGGAGGAGTTGGGGGCGTATGATAGTAGCCTGATAGTGACGGTTCATTCATTGAGAAAGATATCACCAGCGAAGCTATTTTACAGTTTTATGTGAGCTGGCAGACGATTGGCTTGATGATGCGCACCTGATATCTTAAGTTCATGTCACCTTTTTGTTGGGGGGATGGGGAGGAGGAGTTGGGGGCGTATGATGGTAGCCTGATAGTGACCGTATATTTATTTATCGAGAAAGGTATCACCAGCAAAGTCATTGTACAGTTTTATGAGAGGTGGCAGACGATTGTCTCGATGATGCGCACCTGATATCGTAAGTTCATGTCACCTTTTTGTTGGGGGGATGGGGAGGAGGAGTTGGGGGCGTATGATGGTAGCCTGATAGTGACGGTTCATTTATTGAGAAAGATATCACCAGCGAAGCTATTTTACAGTTTTATGTGAGGTGGCAGACGATTGGCTTGATGATGCGCACCTGATATCTTAAGTTCATGTCACCTTTTTGTTGGGGGGATGGGGAGGAGGAGTTGGGGGGGGGCGTATGATGGTAGCCTGATAGTGACGGTTCATTTATTGAGAAAGATATCACCAGCGAAGCTATTTTACAGTTTTATGTGAGCTGGCAGACGATTGGCTTGATGATGCGCACCTGATATCTTAAGTTCATGTCGGCTTTCTTTTAATGGGATGGAGATGGGGTTGAAGGTGTACGATGGATGCCTGATAGTGACCGTTTATTTATTGGGAAAGATATCACTAGCAAAGTCATTTTATAGTTTTATGAAAAGTGGCAGACGATTGGCTTGATGATGCGCACCTGATATCTTAAGTTCATGTCACCTTTTTGTTGGGGGGATGGGGAGGAGGAGTTGGGGGCGTATGATGGTAGCCTGATAGTGACGGTTCATTTATTGAGAAAGATATCACCAGCGAAGCTATTTTACAGTTTTATGTGAGGTGGCAGACGATTGGCTTAATGATGCGCACCTGATATCTTAAGTTCATGTCACCTTTTTGTTGGGGGGATGGGGAGGAGGACATGGGGGCGTATGATGGTAGCCTGATAGTGACCGTATATTTATTTATCGAGAAAGGTATCACCAGCAAAGTCATTGTACAGTTTTATGAGAGGTGGCAGACGATTGTCTCGATGATGCGCACCTGATATCGTAAGTTCATGTCACCTTTTTGTTGGGGGGATGGGGAGGAGGAGTTGGGGGCGTATGATGGTAGCCTGATAGTGACGGTTCATTTATTGAGAAAGATATCACCAGCGAAGCTATTTTACAGTTTTATGTGAGGTGGCAGACGATTGGCTTCATGATGCGCACCTGATATCTTTAGTTCATGTCACTTTTTTGTTGGGGGGATGGGGAGGAGGAGTTGGGGGGCGTATGATGGTAGCCTGATAGTGACGGTTCATTTATTGAGAAAGATATCACCAGCGAAGCTATTTTACAGTTTTATGTGAGCTGGCAGACGATTGGCTTGATGATGCGCACCTGATATCTTAAGTTCATGTCACCTTTTTGTTGGGGGATGGGGAGGAGGAGTTGGGGGCGTATGATGGTAGCCTGATAGTGACGGTTCATTTATTGAGAAAGATATCACCAGCGAAGCTATTTTACAGTTTTATGTGAGGTGGCAGACGATTGGCTTGATGATGCGCACCTGATATCTTAAGTTCATGTCACCTTTTTGTTGGGGGGATGGGGAGGAGGAGTTGGGGGCGTATGATGGTAGCCTGATAGTGACCGTATATTTATTTATCGAGAAAGGTATCACCAGCAAAGTCATTGTACAGTTTTATGAGAGGTGGCAGACGATTGTCTCGATGATGCGCACCCGATATCGTAAGTTCATGTCACCTTTTTGTTGGGGGGATGGGGAGGAGGAGTTGGGGGCGTATGATGGTAGCCTGATAGTGACGGTTCATTTATTGAGAAAGATATCACCAGCGAAGCGATTTTTTACAGTTTTATGTGAGGTGGCAGACGATTGGCTTGATGATGCGCACCTGATATCTTAAGTTCATGTCACCTTTTTGTTGGGGGGATGGGGAGGAGGAGTTGGGGGCGTATGATGGTAGCCTGATAGTGACCGTATATTTATTTATCGAGAAAGGTATCACCAGCAAAGTCATTGTACAGTTTTATGAGAGGTGGCAGACGATTGTCTCGATGATGCGCACCTGATATCGTAAGTTCATGTCACCTTTTTGTTGGGGGGATGGGGAGGAGGAGTTGGGGGCGTATGATGGTAGCCTGATAGTGACGGTTCATTTATTGAGAAAGATATCACCAGCGAAGCTATTTTACAGTTTTATGTGAGGTGGCAGACGATTGGCTTGATGATGCGCACCTGATATCTTTAGTTCATGTCACCTTTTTGTTGGGGGGATGGGGAGGAGGAGTTGGGGGCGTATGATGGTATGAGAGGTGGCAGACGATTGTCTCGATGATGCGCACCTGATATCTTAAGTTCATGTCACCTTTTTGTTGGGGGGATGGGGAGGAGGAGTTGGGGGCGTATGATGGTAGCCTGATAGTGACGGTTCATTTATTGAGAAAGATATCACCAGCGAAGCTATTTTACAGTTTTATGTGAGGTGGCAGACGATTGGCTTGATGATGCGCACCTGATATCTTAAGTTCATGTCACCTTTTTGTTGGGGGGATGGGGAGGAGGAGTTGGGGGGCGTATGATGGTAGCCTGATAGTGACGGTTCATTTATTGAGAAAGATATCACCAGCGAAGCTATTTTACAGTTTTATGTGAGCTGGCAGACGATTGGCTTGATGATGCGCACCTGATATCTTAAGTTCATGTCGGCTTTCTTTTAATGGGATGGAGATGGGGTTGAAGGTGTACGATGGATGCCTGATAGTGACCGTTTATTTATTGGGAAAGATATCACTAGCAAAGTCATTTTATAGTTTTATGAAAAGTGGCAGACGATTGGCTTGATGATGCGCACCTGATATCTTAAGTTCATGTCACCTTTTTGTTGGGGGGATGGGGAGGAGGAGTTGGGGGCGTATGATGGTAGCCTGATAGTGACGGTTCATTTATTGAGAAAGATATCACCAGCGAAGCTATTTTACAGTTTTATGTGAGGTGGCAGACGATTGGCTTAATGATGCGCACCTGATATCTTAAGTTCATGTCACCTTTTTGTTGGGGGGATGGGGAGGAGGACATGGGGGCGTATGATGGTAGCCTGATAGTGACCGTATATTTATTTATCGAGAAAGGTATCACCAGCAAAGTCATTGTACAGTTTTATGAGAGGTGGCAGACGATTGTCTCGATGATGCGCACCTGATATCGTAAGTTCATGTCACCTTTTTGTTGGGGGGATGGGGAGGAGGAGTTGGGGGCGTATGATGGTAGCCTGATAGTGACGGTTCATTTATTGAGAAAGATATCACCAGCGAAGCTATTTTACAGTTTTATGTGAGGTGGCAGACGATTGGCTTCATGATGCGCACCTGATATCTTTAGTTCATGTCACTTTTTTGTTGGGGGGATGGGGAGGAGGAGTTGGGGGCGTATGATGGTAGCCTGATAGTGACGGTTCATTTATTGAGAAAGATATCACCAGCGAAGCTATTTTACAGTTTTATGTGAGCTGGCAGACGATTGGCTTGATGATGCGCACCTGATATCTTAAGTTCATGTCACCTTTTTGTTGGGGGATGGGGAGGAGGAGTTGGGGGCGTATGATGATGGTAGCCTGATAGTGACGGTTCATTTATTGAGAAAGATATCACCAGCGAAGCTATTTTACAGTTTTATGTGAGGTGGCAGACGATTGGCTTGATGATGCGCACCTGATATCTTAAGTTCATGTCACCTTTTTGTTGGGGGGATGGGGAGGAGGAGTTGGGGGCGTATGATGGTAGCCTGATAGTGACCGTATATTTATTTATCGAGAAAGGTATCACCAGCAAAGTCATTGTACAGTTTTATGAGAGGTGGCAGACGATTGTCTCGATGATGCGCACCCGATATCGTAAGTTCATGTCACCTTTTTGTTGGGGGGATGGGGAGGAGGAGTTGGGGGCGTATGATGGTAGCCTGATAGTGACGGTTCATTTATTGAGAAAGATATCACCAGCGAAGCTATTTTACAGTTTTATGTGAGGTGGCAGACGATTGGCTTGATGATGCGCACCTGATATCTTAAGTTCATGTCACCTTTTTGTTGGGGGGATGGGGAGGAGGAGTTGGGGGCGTATGATGGTAGCCTGATAGTGACCGTATATTTATTTATCGAGAAAGGTATCACCAGCAAAGTCATTGTACAGTTTTATGAGAGGTGGCAGACGATTGTCTCGATGATGCGCACCTGATATCGTAAGTTCATGTCACCTTTTTGTTGGGGGGATGGGGAGGAGGAGTTGGGGGCGTATGATGGTAGCCTGATAGTGACGGTTCATTTATTGAGAAAGATATCACCAGCGAAGCTATTTTACAGTTTTATGTGAGGTGGCAGACGATTGGCTTGATGATGCGCACCTGATATCTTTAGTTCATGTCACCTTTTTGTTGGTGGGATGGGGAGGAGGAGTTGGGGGCGTTCGATATGATGGTTCATTTGAAAGTTCACGGTGTGAGGATCACCACCGAAGTTCTATTGTTTGGGCTGGGGGCGTATGATGGTAGCCTGATAGTGACGGTTCATTTATTGAGAAAGATATCACCAGCGAAGCTATTTTACAGTTTTATGTGAGGTGGCAGACGATTGGCTTGATGATGCGCACCTGATATCTTAAGTTCATGTCACCTTTTTGTTGGGGGGATGGGGAGGAGGAGTTGGGGCGTATGATGGTAGCCTGATAGTGACGGTTCATTTATTGAGAAAGATATCACCAGCGAAGCTATTTTACAGTTTTATGTGAGGTGGCAGACGATTGGCTTAATGATGCGCACCTGATATCTTAAGTTCATGTCACCTTTTTTGTTGGGGGGATGGGGAGGAGGAGTTGGGGGCGTATGATGGTAGCCTGATAGTGACGGTTCATTTATTGAGAAAGATATCACCAGCGAAGCTATTTTACAGTTTTATGTGAGGTGGCAGACGATTGGCTTAATGATGCGCACCTGATATCTTAAGTTCATGTCACCTTTTTGTTGGGGGGATGGGGAGGAGGAGTTGGGGGCGTATGATGGTAGCCTGATAGTGACGGTTTCATTTATTGAGAAAGATATCACCAGCGAAGCTATTTTACAGTTTTATGTGAGGTGGCAGACGATTGGCTTGATGATGCGCACCTGATATCTTAAGTTCATGTCACCTTTTTGTTGGGGGGATGGGGAGGAGGAGTTGGGGGGCGTATAATGGTAGCCTGATAGTGACGGTTCATTTATTGAGAAAGATATCACCAGCGAAGCTATTTTACAGTTTTATGTGAGCTGGCAGACGATTGGCTTGATGATGCGCACCTGATATCTTAAGTTCATGTCGGCTTTCTTTTAATGGGATGGAGATGGGGTTGAAGGTGTACGATGGATGCCTGATAGTGACCGTTTATTTATTGGGAAAGATATCACCAGCAAAGTCATTTTATAGTTTTATGAAAAGTGGCAGACGAGTAGGCTCTCATGATGCGCACATAATATGTTAAGTTCAAGTTCTCCCTTTTTGGTGGGGGAGTGAAAGAGGGACGAATGTGTGAATTTTAGCCTGATGTAAGTTATTTATTATATCGTTTATTGATCACTAAAATTATTACAATAATAATTGTAAATGTGTATGTCACCTGCAGTTATTTATTACTTATTATTTACATGTACCTGTATACGTCCAGCCATTTGGTGGCACTTTGCCTAGTTAGTATCGAAAACATTTTACATTCATCTATTGCGAGTATTTAAAAACTGTACCATGCACAGATTTTAAAATTTATAAATTGCATAAGTGATTAATATTAATTACAAATAGTCGCAATAATGGGAAATCAAGCTTACCTTCGTCCTTAGGCGGCGACGGCGTTTTTTCTTTTGTAACTTCAATTGTGGGCGTCACGATGCCCAAATTGGTGGTTGATGTACCTCTAAAAGAACAATTTAAATGAGCTCACACGCCTGCCACAAACTTTCCCGTCATTATGCATAAAAATACGGTACATAAAGCGTATTCCAGTGACACAGTATCCTAACGAGGTGGTGGAGAAACTGGCTCATATTTCATTTTTACTTGATTTGACATATGTGAAAGATACTATAGTAAGAAAATAACTAATATTAGAAGCAAATTATACCCTATCGATAGCAATAATCCGCAGCACTGCACCCACTATAAGACCCATGAGTGGGAAGGAGAACGAAGTATTCTTTACGCCGCTCCCACGTTTTACGACCCAGTGTGCAGCGAGTGAAAGACAGTACTTTAAACTAATTCTATCAGAGGATAAGAGACAAATTATTAATAAACAGCGGTCCCAGCGAAAGGTATTTATACTTGTGGATGACTTATCATCGGGTAATCAATTTATATTTCTGGTCAGGTAGCAGCTACCGATCAAGCCGAGGTCCCCTCTCGGGGGCCCTTGTGCGTATTTACTCTATGGAGTGTTCGCCAAAGTGCCCTAAGAGCTTGGCGGCCACCCAAATAATGACAAATAACTTATGTTGCAAATGTCCATGAGAGGCGGTGATCGGTTATCATCTGGTGACCCGCATGCTCGTTTGCCTCTTTTTCCCATAAAGAAATAATAACTCAAATGCAGAAGGCGGTGCTACTCGATACCGCCCGCATCATCCGCCGGTTTCTCTCATTTTCACCCTAACCCTCGGCTGTTTGGTTGCCCCTGCCGAGGGCTTTCGTCTGGTTGGATCCTTTTTATGTATGACTTATATATAATATTTATACCTCAATGTTTTTTTTATAATATTTATTTTATATATGCAATATATATCTATTTGTCCCTTGAGCTTATACACCCATAATCGATCTTCATAATCAAGGTACAGGCTAGGCGCGGCCTACGAGGCCCCGGCCACCTCAAGCCACGTGGATCTGTAAAAGCCTCCTCAAGGCCAAAACTGGTTGTTCCAACAAAAAAAGAAACACTACATTTTACATTGGTCCACGCAGCAGCCTTGGCTGTTGCATGAATGGGCAGGCTCGTCCAGGTAAGTACCTCGACCTCACAGAAGACGGGCGTAAAGTGGAAGTATAATACTTTCGCCCAATTTTCAAAAGGTTGTCAAAGCATCTGCAACCCTCGGGTCTAGCGGATGTCCATGGGCGGCGGTATTCACTTAACATGAGGTGAACCGTCAGCTCGCTTGGCAACTTTCACATAAAAAAAAGACCAAGCAACGGTTTTGGTGTTGCACGAATGGGCAGGTCCCTCCGAGGGTGTACCACGACCTCGCGAAGTTGAAGTGTTATACTATGCGTTTATTTTCGTGAGTGAAGTAACGGGAACCACTTCATTAAAAGTTGGCGACGCATCTGAAACACTACGAGTGTTGCAAATGTCCATAGGAGGCAAATATCACAACATCAGGTGAAACGCCAGCACACTTGTCGCCTTCACACGTGAGTTGAACCGCCCTATCGTCTGTTTAAAAATATATCTCACTTTGTTATGACTCTCTTTCTAGCATCTTCGGGGGACGGGCTGCGACCGAATACCGGTTCCACCTCCAGCCAAGATGGTTTCCTCTCAAGATGCGGTCCGACGTACTCTCCCTCCATACCTAATGTCTCCGCTGTGAATAAAATTTGAAAAGAACTCGGTTGAAGTTTGTTGCTGCGAGAAAATCTAGGAGCGTCAAAGATTACTTATATGATATATTAATATGATCATTTAATTAAGTTGAGAAACACTTTAATGTGCAATTAAGAAATTTATAAGTAGGTATTGTAGAGATATAGGAATCGGACTTCTTACACCAACAAGTAGACAAATGATATTCGGAATTATTATACCTACGCTAAATAAAAATTTTGTTCAAAAACTTCTAACCCGACTACTGAAAAATTATGCTCTAAGAAGTCTGAAACATAAAAATATTCTCATTTTAAATTGGTATGTACAAGCTATTGAATATTTATTGTACATTAAATAAACAACTAACACAAAACATATTTCAAGGTATTAAATATAGTTCATGACGTTACGTCTACGTGGGCGTCATATTCAGAAATGTGACGTCACATAGCCTATAACCAGAGGATAATCAAGGTCCTTCCAACGTTAACTTAAAATATCAGTTTATAGCAATTTACTAACAGTCTACATTGATTGAGCGCGTCTTCTTAATGGCCCCTCTAACAGACATACGGCGACGTAGCATCTTCGCATTGCGAACTCCGGCCGGCCGCGGCAGGAAGCTTGTCTTGTTACTAATCGACTTCATTAGGTGCTCCTCCAGGTAGCTCTGGACTTGGGGGTTCAGTTCTGAAAACGTCGTAAGTTTTTTTGTCTTATTAAATTTTTAAAACTTGTAATGATCTAGCAAAGCTTTTTTTTGCACCAACATTGGTGTAAAAGAGACACGGAACGGTGGTAGCAGTAGTTTTTTTTTAAACATCTAAACACACAGACCGACACTCACACATTCCGGTTCTTTTTTGTATTGAATGTTTACTTTTTAAATTTTTAAACTTAAAACCAACGAATGACAGTTAAAAGACAATAACTAGTATTTTTAAACTTTTTACGCATAAAACATGCATGAAGAAGAAGATATTATTTTACACACAATATCGCGTTTTTATGAGATATATACATAATATATAATTGTTATGAAAAGGCTCGGGCCTAGGTCGGCCAATCGTGACAAAAATTCAGTGATGATTACAAGACAATATATGATAGGTTCTGAGAAAGGGGCGGCTGGAACTTACTACATGGGCTGGGGCCTAGAGCGGCCAAGACTACAAATCCGCCAGTGGACATGAAATATTGAATAGTCAAACATAAAAATTAAGGCTCACTGTCGGGATAGCCGTCTTCTTGACTACCCAGGAAACTCAAGTTCGTTATTGCTGAAGTGCTTAAAAAGTCACCAAGATTTCCAAGAGTCACCCGAGTGCCGTTAATGTACCCCGATTTTAGCTTTTTCATCGTGGTTATCATCGCCATTGGTATCCTGCCTTGATCTGAAACATTGAACCTGTTTAAAAATCATCTTTACAGAGAGGAAAACAGGCAAAGGTCAAAAAGCATTGTATGTAACGTTGTGTAATCTTATTAATACGTTTACACACCGTATTTCAAATAACTATCAAACAAAAGACAATGGTGAGTAAAAAACATATTGTATGTTAGAATGTAAAATTTATGACAATGATTTGCACGTTTAATTTATTTTCAGTAACAAGAAGAGAATTTGATAAAAAGACATATAATCTCAGAGGTTTAAAGGCTCAAGGGATAGACACAGGTTATACTGTACCTTTCAATTAAGAATCGTTCAAGTTAATATTCAATTACTTTAGATCCTAAAATGGTTATTTTGTGCACCGTAACGAGATAATATGTCTGAAATTTTGTATTACCAATTTTATTTGGGCTCTATTTTGGAACAAGTGATCTTCTGTTCAAATTACAATCTTTTTTATGGAACAAGTAGGCAAACGAGAAAGCTGGTCACTTGATGGTAAGCGATCACAGCCGCCAATCAATCAATTTTATTACTACCTACCGATTGTTTAAGCCAAAGATACGTTTTTTTTAAAGATATGAAATGATCTTATAATATTACCATGTAAGGACAACATTGATATATTTTAAAGAATTTATTTCTAAAATAAGATTAGAAATTTGTCGGACAGTAATTATACCATAGAAAATGATATTTTATACTACAGATATGTTATTAAAAATTAACACGCCCGAATTGAAGCCACAAAACGTCCCAATTGGAACGTCTTGTCTTTAGTTCACGTTAGGCAGGGCGGCGAGTAAGACGCGCAAAAATTTTACAATAATAAAAAGGCCTTCGTGAGTCTTTGGAAGATGTACCGAGTACGACTCTAAAGTTAACAACATTCAAGGGATTTCATATTCTGTGCAATATATCTTCGATTTATTAATATATTTCAATTATTTTCCTAATTGTATTTCAATTTGTGTAGATTAGAAAAGAAAGTTAGTGGTACAGCTAATAATTTTAATTGCGGTACGAGATAGAACTACGAGAACCATCCTCTTTTTTCTTATTGCTTTAATTATGTTTACCTTTTCATACTATTCGAAAAGTGTAAGAAAGTTATAATGAATGAAACTTGTAAATGTGTGCTGTCACTGTGTATGGAATACTTTTGACTGTTTGTGATTTTGTAAGCGTATACCATATCTATGGTATAAAATATCATTGACTATAAATATATAACAATTATTAAATAAAAAAATCAAACTTGAATATATATTTTTTTTCATCACAATTGAAACGTATTGTATATATCTTCGACGATGTAATCTAAGTGATGGACAGTATGAAATCTATCTATCTATTTCATATCCAAAAGTGTCCAGATTTGGAACTGTTATTTATCGCAGTTAGTACCAGTTATTGCTTTCAGCACTAAATGACGGTTCCAAATCCATTAAAAATGGCGCTAGAGTAGTAAGAGAGTATGATTAGTTTCCTTGTATTGATTTTGAGTAATTAATAAACATGGCAGTTATTTATTCGCCACCCCTGCTCTGTACCCAGTAATAACCAGGTGCTACGGTAGCGCAACCAATTAAATGCTATTCGATGGACACTTTTCATACAAAGATATTGTTCTTCTTACCACACCACTAATTTCCAAGGCTACTACCCTGTACCTATGTTACGCCCGTAAAGGATTGTGCACGACGTGACTATCGACAACAGACACCGGAAAATTAAAAAGTCAGTAAGTTTAATTATTACAAAGTATCTTTTGTCGCAGTTATTTTAAATTCGGAATTGTGCCACCACCCACCCAAGTTTTTAATATTTCTTTTATAGGTTCCATAATCGACGCGAATGTTTTTTTACCTAACAGGTACTGAGTGGCGCAGCAATGTGATCGTCGGCCTGCCTAGCATTTGTTTCCAGCTCATGCCGAGGAACGCGACGTTCGTCGTAAAAGTGCTCGCGAGCAGCGCCGGGTCGCGGGACATGTAGTACTCCTCGTAGTCGAAATTCTACACATGCAGGACATCACGGCATTTTTTGTGACTGACATACATTACAAATAATGTACACACATTACAAATACTTTTTTTTAAGCCGCTCGCCCTACTACAATTGACCAAAGGTTTTGTTATAGAAAAAGTTAGTTGAAAAATCCTATCGGGTTAATGCACTACGTACAGGTAAGCATGTTTCACAAAACGGTTTTGTAGATGACTATGTTGCACAAATATCATGCCATTTAATTAACATGTTAAACATATGCAGTACATATGGTGACTAACACAAGTTAAACAATCCATTGATATTAATAAATATAAGAAAATAATACCTAAATGCATTTGATTCAAAGTCAAGACAACAAGCGGTCGCCCGAGTAGATTTTGCCAAGAAGATTTCAAGAAATTAATTTCTGCTTTGAGAGTATCAACCATCAATTCATAGTCAGAAGCAATGTAGAAACGCTTCATATCAGAAAACTACCAAATGAAAATATATTAATTAATTGCATATATAAATGAAAGTACAATTCAGAAAGCTAACACGTAAAATACATGCATAAGGCACATAAATATATTATCTAAAAACCTGTAAAAAATCAATATGGTCAAAGTTAAGCACAATAAAACTATAACAACAAATAATACGATAAAAGTTGTAGTATGGCTGTATTGGTGAGACAGTTTTATAAGATGAGATAGAACAAAAGCACATTTTTGTTTAAACCTGTATTTGGGGACTCTCCTTCAGTATAGGATGGAGTCTAAAGAAGTTAATTAGCTCATCAGTATCAATCTGTTTATTTGCAAACATAATAAGCCTTGACAAATAATCCAATTTAACAATATGCTAATTGTTTATGCTAATTTAATTCTCTGAATATAGTTACATATCTATTCATCTTTCTCACACATCTAAATCATCAAGGAACATTATCAATTCACTTAAGCAACTTTCAACAATCACTTTTATGTGAAGAAGTGTAAGTGCTAACCACCACCCATGGACAGTACAATTACCTGTAGACTAGATGCGTTGCCACGCATCGGCAAGTCATGCAAGGTCGTTACTTCCCAGGACGGACCTGCCCATTCGCGCATCAGAGAAGACTGTTGCATGGCCCTACCACAGTTGACCATTTTTCTCTATTTCATATTTATTTCATTGGATAAATTAGCATTTTTAATACCTGCGGTGTAAAAGCGAATATACGATCGTTTAAAGAATACAACTTGCTTGTACTTAGTATACCAACGTCACGCGACTTTCTTCCGGATAGACCCAATTTTTTGTTACGACCTGAAAATAAATCAACTATAATAATTAATTAACTCCAAAATGTTTCATAATATAAAAAATTAAATGTATAATATACCGATTTTCATGATGAGGAAACAATTGATCTGATTCAAATAAATTTTGATAAGTTTCACAAAAGTTTAACGCTCGAGTTTGGTAAAAGATGGTAACATATTGTGTGTGCGTAATTACCTAAAGTGTAGTGCGAGCATGTGTAGTCTTGCCAACTTAGGGCTTTTAGCCCCAAGTTTAGGGCGGAAATATGCCTATTGGGCTTTTTTTAGGGTTCAAAAATGTTTAGGGCCAGTTTTAGGGTCATGAATAATATTTAATTAATCACTATTTTCACTGACCAAAGTGAGTAAAAAAATAGCAAATTGTCTATTAATGAATGTAATAACTAATGTACATGTAATTAAATAATGAAATGTTAGTTTATATTGTGTTTTTTTGTTACTTATTTCAACTCTTTGTAATGAAAAGTAATTAAATCTAAGTTACGTTTTATTTACCATAAAAAAATATAAAATTCATTGAAACAATGTCTTTGAATTCAATACAGGGCCTTTTTTGGGGCTTTTGAAAATTGTATTTAGGGCTATTTCATCTTGATTTTAGGGCCATTTTTTTAGTAGTTGGCAACACTGGGTGCGAGGGTTTAGACAGACTAAACAATTTTGAGCTGTTATAATCATAATGCACCTTTATTAGATATTAATGAAAAAAGTGATTTCATTTATGAAGTAGTATTAAGATTTTTAGACTTAATAATAAAACACAAATATTTGTTTAAATAAGATATGTATCGTAAAAATGTACACAAGTTATTACTGTTTTGTAAGTACACAATACTTACAAAACAGTTTGGTAAAATAACAATTTTGCTTATTGAAACTTTTTGCAAGTTTAAATTCAAACTCAAAGAATTTATGTCAAATAGGAGTCAGTCAAAAAGATGAGCAAATGCACTTTCCAGATCTTACATTTATGTTACAATAACGTACAAGAAAACATTTCAATTTGGAGTTGTCTTAAAAACAATGTTATTTCTTAGTAAATTAAGCAATTGTCATGAGATTTTTAATCGGAATTTGACAGTGCGAGGAATTTTTCGCAAATGAGTTTTTGAAGATTGATCACCACAGTACAACATAGTTGGTTTTTGAAATGTAATACATTAAATTACAAGATCAAAGATTAAAATTATTTTAGAATAAGATGTTTAATAAGGTGACTGAAATGATAACATTAAGTGAAATCATGAAATGGTTCTAAAATTAAAATAGATTTACATTTGAAAAAAAGTAATAGAAAGACAGATTTAATTTCCTCAATAAATTAAGGTATTGGTTCATTTATGGCACACTTTGAAAATGCTCATTATTTCTGTTTACATCAAACAAATATACCTCATACATACATACCCAAATATGTATAGAGATGACTTAAAACTCTTGCAGGTTGAACTTCTATTGGTGCTACTTCACTAATAGTTTGAACATGTAGGTCATACTCCAACAATTTGTCTCTTATTTCATTGTCTTCAGCAAGTATAACAATTTGAACAACCACATCAGGCTTTTTCTCAGAGCACAATCTTCTGTTAAGAGGATCCAATTCACCAACAGCTAGAAATCCCTATAGAAATAAAAGGGAAACAGAGAAAATAGAATAAAATTTTAGGATACTTAATACTTGATAGATATTAGTGTTTGTATTGGAGTATGACAAGAGAACAAGGTGTACAAACACTCACAAAATACTGTATGAAAAAAAAATATCTCTTAGTAGCTAGTAACCCAATGTACAGTATTTTAGCAAATGTATATACTACGATTATGAAGTAATAAGCACTTAAAATTATATTTGACATGTATTAAGTTAATTATTTATTAAGCATGGTAGTAACAACTGACCTCCTGCAGTAATTTTCCCAGAATGTATAAAGATTGTGCCCAAATAAAAGGACACCTACCAAGTGGTATTCGTTCTTGACTTCCAGGTTCTTGTTTTTCTGCATCAGCCTTATCTACTGGTACAGAATATAACTCGGGCACAAGTTTCAATCCATCATCTTTCCTTATCATTACCTTTTCTAGTCTGTGCATGTACTCTACTGTATTAGCTTTATCTCCTTGGAAACAGTAGTCAAGCATTAGGTAACAAAAAAACAATGGCCATTCACATTCTATATTCTCAAACATTCTTAACTCCCATGGCTCATAATACAATCTGTTTGGATCTTCTCTTGGCGTTTTATGGCCATCTCTTAAAAATCTTTTGCATCCATATTTCCCCTGAAGTTTTGTAACAATTGTCTCTCTTGTTTTTGCTATTAGTTGTGGATCATCCACGGCAAAAGCTGGATAGCTTATAATTGATAAAAGACCAGAATCTAATTCTTTACTGTTTGACTCTCTGGGTAGCATTGATTGTAAAACAGCTTGGCACTTTTGAGCTTCATCAGCTAAAACATGTATTACACTTGAAGGACCACCACGGGCACCAAAAAGATCCAATTCATTCACAGCTTCTAGAGCTGCTTTTGCCATTCCAATAGAACTTGCATTGAGTTCTGGTAATCCATGATTAGTTTTGTCCCCTCTCTCCCAAATTCCATAGTCTGGGGTACAATAAGCCGATTCAATGTAGAAAACTAAATTTTGTATAAAAGCTACTTCATCCAATGAAAAGACAATTTGTAAGCCAGATGCAGTCATCTGAGCAAGTATAAGGAGGTATAATGAAATGGCATCTATTTGTAGATGTCCCCATTCATCATCTTTAACCACAACAAGACCAGTTATTGATGAATACTTAGCATGAATAGAATCCAATGGATGCTGAGTACTTTTAAATTTCTCAACTTTGTCCTTTTGTTGCATCATTGCCATCAAAAGACCTAAAAAGTACAAATATTTATATAATGCAATGCCATTTACTTATAACTTATTAATATATGTTACAAACAAGAATGAATTCATCCTCAAGTTTCAAACTGCATCCAAAAGTTTGATGACTCCTTGGCAAAGTTGACAAGGTTTTGGCTTCCACACCAGGGGTTGTGGGTCTGATTTCTATATGGGACAACTATTTGTGACACCCGTAGATAATTGTTTCAGATCTGGATTTTTGTCCATGTGAAATTTATGTTTGTAAAAACATCCTTACAAATTGGGATAACATTATCCTACAGTAAGGTCAATGTTTAAAAGAAAAATAAAGAATGAATGAACTGAAGTTATTCTCCTAGCAGTTAAGAATAAACAATGAAACTTATAATGCAAATCATGAAGCTTTAAATTTATGAAAAATCAAGAAATTGAAATTGTTAATTTGGTTCAAATGTGTATGTAATTAAGGAATATTATATGTAGTACTTCATTTATTGACCTTAAGAAAAATTTCAATTGCTTGCAGCTTTGCAATTACATAATATATATTTAGAGGACCTTATAAGAAATGTTATAAAGTGTAAGAGATACTATTTGTATTAAAGATATGTTCATACAATACCTAGTTTACTAAAGCTGACAGCTTAAATAAATGGTTGTCACCATTTAACTGGAATGTTTAACTTTACCATACAGTATTTTTTATAGTTGAATAACATCAGTGTAGGATCATAAAACTGTAAACTTTTTTTAATTACTAAAATATGTTGAATTACTATTTATCTTTATTTTGGAATACCTCTCATAAGTTTGACGCAACTTTGCTCAAGCTCATAAGTTTTAGCGCGGTCTTCATCTTGGTCTGCAATTTTCTTGAAAGCCATCGATAATCCCCAGACGGCCAATATACAATAAAGGTTGTCACGTATCCAGGCATGATCATTATGGGGACTTGCGGGGAACAATCCAGTCACAGGTTGCTGATGATCTAAAATTAACTTGTGCACAAGCCTTTGGTAATAATCCAAACGAACCCCCGAATTACTACGAGTCCTCATTTTTGTATTTAACTAGTTGCCTTTCTATAACATAAACAGCGATACTTAGGTATTAGTGATCATTTTTAATTTCTTCAATTTATTTGGTAAAAATATGTCATTTGAAAGTCGAGATTGTCAGTGTCAAAGTCAATTACATTCTTATTGAGGTTATTTCTTTGTTTTCTCGTCTGGTTGGGTTTATAGATAAAAAATAAACATATAAATATATATTGCATATATAAAATAAATATTATGAATAAAAATAAACATATAGGTATAAATATTGTATATAATACATATATAAATAGGACCCAACGAGACGGAAGCCCTCGGCAGGGGAGATCAAACGGCCGAGGGTTAGGGTGAAAGGGAGAGAAACCGGCGGACGATGCGGGCGGTATCGAGGAGCACCACTTTCTGCATTAGAGCTTGGAGCGTTCCGCCCGGAGTTCCAGTCACCTCAGATGTCCGGAGAGGCTGGCTGGGATCAACCCATTCGCAGATACGACTATCGGGATAAATAGCTTAAAAATTGGATGCTACTTGTGTATACACTTTGGCTGTTTCTCATCTAAGGGGTCTAAGGAGTACTTCGGTCAGGGCCGGGCGGCATCGGAGGCAGCTGAGGTAAGGAAATGGCGCAAATATGAGTCTCTATGTTTAGATTATGTATTTGTGTCATTTGCTGTTGAAATTTTAGGTCCGTGGGGTCCCCATCAATTTTTTTTAAAGTATTATGCATAGGCGTATATAGCAGGGGGGCGGAGTGGGCCATGCCCACCCCAGTATCGTGTAGTGTCCACCCCATGATTTTGGGTCACTGATTCAAAATTCTAGACTATCTATTCATCATTGGATACTTAAGAAATTTCATAAAAAATATTGAAATCAAATAATTATCTACAGCCGAGAAATCTATGTTCAAATTTAGTTTTTATTACATACTATTTTACAATACATTCCTTTTATTTACTTGTGAATACAAAACGTAGGTACTGACAACTAGTTAGTTAATACTACTATTATAAATTAATAAAAATTAATAACGATAACGAACTATTACTTCTTTAATAAGACGCATAGTGTTCGATTTTTTTTTGTAGTCTAGGCCCAGGCCCACCCTGAAAAATAAACGTAGATACGCCAATGGGTTTATGTCCTAGACTTAACGCCGCGGCTAGTAACAATAGGGCTGGTTCTTTTCCCGCTCAAAGCTTAAGCATAACTTTTCAGCAAGGAAATGCAGCTAGCGTTCTTGGCACCAAGCCACGTGGATTTAACCAGGTTCAATAGATAATATGTAATTTTAATATTGTAAATATTAGATAAATATTTAAAACATTTTTTGAAACAGGTATCATTTGGGGCCACGTCACACATCTGAGGGTATGTTCCGATATGCACTGCGAGAACTGCACAGTGCTATCACTGTAGAAAAATTCGTTCCGTTCTGGACTGCCTCTTGCCAGTATACTATACTATACTTGCCAGTATGCTGCCGCAGTACCCTAGGGAAATATATGACGTCATAAATCATCGTCATATTCTACTGTGAGCCATAGAGTAACTTATTAATTAAGGGTAATAGAGTCAGAGAACTAAACGGAATGAGCAAGCTCCATACACATATCAAATGTATGGACTGAAAAGACCGTGGAGAGCACTGAGGCGCCTTTGCTGTGAGCACTGGCGTTTGCGAGTTAAGGTACTCGCAGTACTTTGTACAGTTTTATAAACAATACCTACAGTTTAATCCCAAAGTTATAAAGTTCTGTAATTAGTTTGGATTAATAAATAAAACAGAAGAATTGCAAAAATTAACTTTATTAGACTGTATTAATTAATATGCATGTATTAATATTATGTTGGGGATATTTACTTGTTTTCTCGTCTGGTTGGTTTATAAATAAAAATAGACATTTAATATTAGTACCTGGAGGACCTGGAGGAGGTGGAGGAGAAGTGTTTTTTTTCTGGTAAATCGTGTATTTTGGAAATTAAATTTGGATACAAATTAGTAATGAAATATGCATAATATTTTTCGATCTTACCGACGTAATAATAAGAAAATATGAACTGGTGTTTTTCACAAAAGAAAGAACTTTAAAAAATGGATGGAGAAAAAATAAAAAATAAAGAAAGCAATGATCTGGAACCGAAAAAAAAAAGTAAAAAAATAAGTATGTAATGTGACACGAACCACGGCCTTCTGTTTCGGGGCCGCCAAATTACCGACCGAGCTATTATAAAATTTTTTTTCGGCGAAATTTACCGTCGTATTCGAATGATATTTTTCATTCCCTAAAAACAGGGATAAAAGGACATTTTCTAAAAATGAAACCTAGGTAGTTTAAAGGATAACATATTATATTATATTAATATTAATTATTATGTATTTATTAATTAATAAGGTAATAACTGAGTGAATGAACTAGAAAACTTTAATACACTCATTTGAATGCTGCGTCAAAAATGCGGCTGACAGTATAGGGGATTGCGTTCCGTTTTAAATAGTATCCAGTATAGCTAACTTTATAGGAACGGCTTCACATTTGACTAAATTGACGTCACACTGTACATATGGTCGCAGTGCATATCGGAACATAGACTAGGGATGAGCAAGTAAAAAAAAATATATCGATATTTATCGTATCGACATTTTTAAAAACTATCGATATTTATCGATTGAAAAATATCGATAAATCGATATATCGATATATTTTTTATTATTTATATTTCCAAACCATTCAAAATTCGCGAAAAGAAACCTCGCGAAAAATTGTAAAATATTAATCAGTCAGACAATTTGGATATTTTTTTTCATTGAACGTCACAGCGTTCAATAAAATCATGCAAACTGACATAACCACCACGCTCAATAGTTGAAGACTTTAACTAGTTGATCAACTTCTCATGGTACTGAAGTTAGCCGATTTCTAATAATATTTGAAAATTTTCCAACGATAAATTATAAAAGAAAATATATAAAAATTTGTACTTAGAGTTTAAAAATTTATACATGTGCAATTTTTTCTTTTTGTTGTAACTTTTTTAATTTGTTGAAAAAAAAAAAGATTCAAAAATAATTAATTGTTTATTAACTTCAAGGTCATATACATCTCACACTGATAGTTTAATAGTATTTTCATGGTATTGGCTTAAAGGTCTTGTTACCAGCCATATAACCTTTTTTTAAAAAAAAGTATTATCGTGCACGTTATTAACACTAAACACCAAACCAGAGTTGCTTTAGAAAGTATATCGAAATTGATACGAATTCGATAGTCGAAAATAAATATCAAATATCGATATATCGGGAATAAAAATATCGATATTTTTTGCCATGCCTAACATAGACATATCCAATCCCAATATTTGACAAAACTTATGACATTTGGCAAGTTTTTAGTTATTTTTTTTTATTTATTTGTTTTGTTTATATTATACGACTTTTGTCTGCAAATCCATCTAAAATAAAATCTATCTCGGACAAAATGGTAAAAACCACAAATTTATCGAAATTTATATGTATTTTGATTATTTGCGCAAAAAGTGTAACTACGGAGATCATTAAAGATAATTTGGGTAAATTAAATGCTATAAATCAATCTTTTTACGAAACTTACAATAGAACTAAGTCAAACGTAATTAGTGAAGAAGGTTCTGTACTTTCCACCTCAGCAACCAATGTAAAATTTCCCAAGGATAAACTCGACATTCTTCTAAGTTTGGATACTGAAATGGGTAAAAGTAAACAAAAATCAATTGTACCGAGGAAAGGGGTACATAGTTCTATGGAAGACATACAAGTTTTAAGAAATCATACAAATGAAGATAAAAATAATACTTTTATTGTACAAAAGGAACCTAAAAAGTTGGAGGAAATTATAAATAAAATTAAAAATGTGACTGTAATAGGAAATAAAATTACAAGTTTTGATATAATATCTAAACCAAATGCTGAAAAGAATGTTTCACAAAATAATGATAAAACAGAAGTGCATAAGAAACCTTTAGTTTTGTCCAGTGAAGTTTTAGATAGGATAACATTAATTGAGTCTGACCAAAAATTTATAAAAGACAGTCATATCACTAAAGTTCCGAAGAATCCTAACAGTCATCCTGGAATGATTATGCCTATTGTCATTACAATGCTTGTTGTGCCTATGTTTGCTGTTGTTGGCTACTTAGCGGTGAAAAGAGGGCAAGAAGCATGGAAAAACCGACATTATAAAAGAATGGATTTCCTTTTGGATGGGATGTATAATGATTAATATTCACATTAATGAAGAAAAAGGAACTCATTTGTTTTAACAAAATTAATTTGTTAGTACAAGTGAATTAAATTTAGATAATGATTTTCTTCAAAGCCAAAAAGTTAAATAATTTGGAAAGATGTTTGAAAATATACCAAATTAAATGAGCTTATTTGTACAAATCCAGTATTAAATGTTATACATCTCTCAAAAGTAGGACTTTAAAAAATATGTAGAAATCTTTTTTAAGCAATATTTGTCAGAGATTTAAAATGTATGAAGCAATGGTATCTTTTGGAAAAAAGGCTTTATTTAAATATATGCAATAAGTGCCTACAATGTGCCTTCCTGATATTACTAAATAATATACTGTTAGTCACACTAAGTGAGATATTATATTTTTATAGTTGTCTTACAAATTGCAATGTCTTCCTTTTATATTAATATATTTCTTAAAGTTATGTTGTGATATACTAAGATTTTAATCAAATGTGAAGTTATTAAATATTATAGTTATCTTTTATGTAGTATGGTACTGTTTTCATTCAGCAATATTTTTATATTAAAAATAACTTTTCTAAAGTTGTATCTTTCATTTACATTGAAAAAACAAAACACAAAACACTAAAGTCTCAGTGACAGACTGAGCAAGTATACAAGTATACAAAGTTACTCTATGATACTGAGATTGAGGCAGATCTGGCTCGCCATGCATAACATAGTCATTGAGAGTTTTGTAGTCAATTTGTAATATTAATATAA